AGAAGAACCCTTTTTAGTGCTATATAGAGCCATGTGCAACACACTTTCCAGCTAAAGAACCATTTTACAAGGCAAAGAACCATTTTAGCATGAAAGTCTAAATAGAATCTAAATACAGCCTTTATTAAAGAACCCTTAAAGAACCATCTTTTCTAAGTGTGCAGGCTAGGCAAAGCCTCAGCTTGGGCAGAAGATAGCCAGTTAGCTAGCAAGCTACCTAAGTTGGCTAGCTACATTCATAGATATACATACCGCATTGTCTGTTGTTCTCTATCTGAGGTTATACGCCTGCGTGTCCACCATGTTAGAGCGGTCAAGATCTGCTTATGAACAAATTCACTTGTATTGAGAGATGATCAGTTCTCAGGACTAAATCAGCCACAACTTCCTTATTACTCTACCCGATTTTCACCAAATTTGTTTTGTTATAATCCTCCGACATAAATTAATTTAGAAATTATTTAGCAGCCTAGTAGAAACACAATCTCACACACATCAGCAAATCCATCAATGAGTGAATCACTTCTAATCATTCTAATCTTAATACACAAAAATAAAATCAACCCCCCCAAAACACAGCAAGAAGGACGAAGCTAAAGTTGGCTTCCTATTCGCCAGCTTCTTGTTCAAATTTTCCTGTTCCACCTTAAATGATTCAGCAGTCACTTTCTGGTGCCTGAAGCTGCACTGTTTAAGGTGGAACAGGAAAATTTGAACAAGAAGCTGGCAAAGAAGCTGTAAGAAGGTTTGTGTAAGAAGGTGCTAACGTCAATCTGTTATGAATATCTACACAGATTAAGGAATGCTATAACTTACCCACAAAGCATTAACCATCACTGTAAATAAATAACTACTACATAAAGTTAAGATCCCCTCAATAGACCATTAAATGAAATAAGCTTAATATAAAACCAGAGGAAAAACAATCACATCAACAGATTCTCTGTGCATCACCAACCACACGGCCACATCTACACATAAACACCACTCAAACAGTAAACATCACACAAACATGAGTGTGGATCTCTGCGTCCCCTCCGTTATATAATCCTATCCCACTTTCTGAGAGCGATATTCTTGAAATGGTATAATTTGGGACAGTATCTTTCTTAAATATTAAGCAATATTGACCGCCCCAAAATAGCGGCGCCACTGACGTGCCTGTCTGGACGCAGCATCTAGGAATGTATATCTATGGCTACGTTACTCTTTCAGTGTTTAGCTTGCTAACTAGCTAAGATGGTTGGGGGTGTAACTAAGCTTATCTCTAAACCTCAATCTAAACCTAAAGCTTTTTTCTATTTACAGTAGCTAATCTGGTTGGGGAAGTAACCATAACCATACCTTTAACCATTTTACTGTACATTAATGAAAGCTAACATTTGCCCAATCTAGGGCTTCTTCTGCACAAGCTGTAGCTATGTTCAGCCTGCGGCTTGGTCTGCAGGCTTCCAGCTGGACACTAATGGATAAACAACCAATGCGTGGACAAGACAGCTGTTATAAACTAGCATTCCAGTAGCTCTGCCTGGTACCATTCACAGGTCAGCCCATACAGAGGTCACCTGAAGAAGGAAAGAAAGAGTAAAAGAGAAGGAGAACATCTCCTCAGTTTCCTTCATTAATATTAATAGAAAAGAAATCGTATTATTTTTCTCCAAAACAGATGCACCTAACTTAAAACAAATGAGTTACTTTAAATGTACTTGATTTGAATGAGTGTATCGCTTCCAAATGAATAAAGGACATTACCACAGCTGAACTGTCGATGCCGTGCCCAGAATTGTCTTGTTTTGAAGGCTGGACAAGCTTAGCGGAACATAGACAAAATTCCTGTTTAATCTAATTTGAAACAGTTTTGGACAAATATGAAAATAAAGAATGTTATTAATTTAAAATCATGTTTTTGTGTGGATATGGAGGGTCATACTGCTAGACTGTGTGTGGTGTTTCTGTCGTTAGCATGTTGGCATTGTGGCAGATTCCTTAGTTAGTTAGCTGCAATGCAGTCCAGCTTGGTAGTGTAGCATTTTAAAATGCAGTGAATCTGAACTCCAATGTAAATTCATTAATCTGAGACACAGATGTGGGAAGTGGGAGCACTAAGGGGGCTGCAACACTCCACGATTTTAAGATTGTTTAAGTGCAAAAAAAACCCTTCATATAAAATTCTAATGTCCCACTTTTGGATCTTTAGTATTTACCTTGACTTAAAGGAGAATTCCAACGATTTTTCAAAATTTCTGCACAGTTCAGTCATTGAAATGTAAACAAAGTAATTCAGAGTAGTTTGATGTGAAACTAGAGAAACCTGCCAGATGTTTTTAGAGTAGTGGTGATAGGAACCAGGTGTCATGTTGTCCACGATGCAAAAATTGCATACATTTTATTTGCTATCCAAAATTACCAGTGAACCTATATGCATCTTGATTTTTTCATATGTGATGTTGATGATGGTGAAATGGTTGTCAATCTGGAAAAAAAAATTCTATGTAGACTCTTTTACTTTACAATGCCGTACATCAGCATTGTCCAATCTTATCCGCAAAGGGCCAGTGTGGCTGCAGGTTTTCACTCAGAACAAGCTTGAGCACACCTGATTCTGCTTGTTTAATCAGTTAGTTTCAGTCTTCAAACTGCTGATCAGGGGCGTTCCCCTGCTTTGTTGGAATGAAAACCTGCAGCCACACCGGCCCTTTGTGGAGAAGATTGGATCACTCCTGTGCTACATGTACCCCTTCACCATGAATTAAAAATATATTTTAATATATTTCAAGCCAAATAATTACCTCAAAATTTTAGTAAAACAATGTCTCAGACATCATGCACCATATTCATAACCATATACTGTGCTAACTTTCTGTGAGGGAGCTTTTAGAGGCATTAAATGCTTTAGACGTCTGGTTCCTATCACCACCACTGTGAACTATTCTGACTCAGTTTCTCTAGGGTGAAGCATTTCAAATCAAATCGCTCTAAATGAATTTATTTACGTATTTACTATTTAATTATGTAGAATTTTTTGAAAATTCGGTGACACCCCACTTTAATGCGCCACATACCAACAACCTGATTGGCAGCCAGCTAATTTGCATAAAGTTCATCCGAGGCGAGAGCGCAAAAGCAGGCTGTGTTTGATGTCTCAGTTACATGTGTATTTTGCTCTCTATCGCCACGTTATAGCATGTTATAACACCTTCTGTTTGGTGATCAAAAAGCCAAATCATTAAGCACGAGGTCACTTTGTACGATACGCAGAGTCGCAGATTTACACCCGCAGTTTCACTCCAGCGGTTTCAGGCCGGTGGAACGCATGCGCAGTAGGACAGCACGATTGCGCCATGTAAACAAAGTCATAATGGGAAAGTCGAGCATTACGAGCGTCCCATTCATGTCGATCAGCGACTGGTCTCCTCATTTATAACGTCTCTGATGTAAACAGCGACTGTTTGTGCTGGTTATTACCAGCATATTACCATTCAGGAAGGGATTCCATTACCAGTATACGAATACCAGCCACTGCTAACCGGTTAAACACATAACAAAACCACCCGAAACCAAAAGCAATACTTTCTATGTTGTTTTCCAAAAAAAATTAAAGTTTGTTTTCCCTAAAGCTTAATATTATGCTCAGTTTAAACCTGCTTAAGGTTAAGTTATTCCTGCACATGTAAGTTTACACATTAAGCCCCTGTATTAATGCTAAGTTCACTGAGCTAAATGTCTACATAACCCATTAGTTCACCCAGGCCACATAAGCTATAGTTCGTGTAATATTTACCCTGTGAATCTCTATATGCGTTCAAACCAAAGTTTCTTTTAGCCTAAAGCTTAAAATATAAAGCTAGCCCAACGCAAATGTATCACAAATTTATTGGAAACCCACATAAAACGACTGAAATATTGATTAGCCTAAAAGTCGCTAAGAAAAACCAAAACAAGTGTCTGCGCATGCGCGGAATGCCATCGGCTTGAACCTGCTGGAGTGAAAACCGCTGGCATGTAACTGGTTCTGCGGCTCTGACTGGTATTGCTGGTGGGTTGAACTGGGTTTTTGTTTGCGGGCGGAGCTCAGACAGGCTAGTTATTGCCAAAAGGAAGTAAAAGGACAGCAACTGTGTCCAAGTGGTACATTTCACTCATGTGGAAGCGCTGAGCGTTTGAATCAGATCAGTGTTTTCACTGCAGGGCTCACAAATCTGCGTCGAAATGAGTCAGTACAGGGCAGGGCGGCCTGACTCCCCCCACTGATCATTGGATAAGGGCGCCCACCTCATTTGATCTGTTCCGCAGATCCTGCCTGTGTTTTCTTACTTCAGCTGTTCAGTAACAGGCCTGAAACACGCCGTGACCTTTTTAAAAGTGCACACTGCTCTTTGAGAGCCGCTTCCAGGCTTTGGCGAGAGTTGGCTCTCCTGCGTTCTGCACTGTAATCAATATTATTTTATTGTACTTATAAAAAAAACTAAAAAAAAAAACAGCAACAAATCTTACATGTGCTATTAGTGGTCTGTAGGCAGTTGCGTTGCAGAATAAAATGAAGAAAAATAAAAGTCTCTACTCTGCAATTCTGAGGTTGAGCCTCTCTTTCTCCCTCTATCTCTTCCTTTCTCTCTCTCCCCTTCTTTTCCTTTTTTTCCAAAACAAAAAATATATATATATAAATATGAAAGGAGATTCAATGCCCAACAGAGCCCAATTTACATATTACAGGGGCAAATTTTTACGCTCCTCTCATTTGTTTTAGTGTTTTTCTTTTTTAAAGAAGTCGCGTTGGTTTTTATTCCGGATCATTTTTATGCCCCCATAATTAAATTAGCCGCTGAAAAAATGTCATTCAAGTCGTAGATTCTACTTTGAACGAAACACAAATAAAAATGAATTACAGAATTAACGAAAAGACGCGACTGACGTCAGATACATGCGTTCATTCGTCCCACAAGCCCCCCTTTAGAAAATAAAAGCGAAGAAATGATTTAAACAGCGTCAAAAAGCGACTGTTTGACTTCACGGGTTTATTTTTGCAAAGCACGATTCATACCGGGTACCTTTATGATACACACAGACTGCGCTGCAAAACCACATCAGGTAAACGAGGCTGAAGTTGGCTTCCTTTTCGCCAGCTTCTTATTCGAATTTCGCCGTTCCACCTTAAATGGTGCACACAATGCAACTGCTGCACCATTTAAGGTGGAACGGCGAAATTCGAGTAAGAAGCAGGCGCAAAGGCTAAAAACTTGAGCTTCGTATCAGTTCGTCAGTGAATAAAAACCATGGAGAGAAACGTGTTAGGAAACTGAAACAATACGCACAGAAGAAACGTTATTTCAATATGAAATTACAAAGTGCTGGAGAAGGTTAGCTCATAAACTCCATGCATATTTCGAGATCTGTAAAAAAAATAACAAATATGGTTGGAGAAAAATAAAGACAGCAGGGTTTGACACTTTTAAATGAGAAACACAGGTCTCCTCACGTTCCTGACCCTCTCTGAACGAGATCAAATCCAGAATAATTAATGTTGGGATGCAAGTTCCCTTTAAAGGTCCAGTTGCCTTTTTTCTTTGCTAGTAGACAAGTTTCATATGAATATGTGACGCATAACAATACAAACACATTTAAACCGCGCTTCAAATCAACGTGTTAGAGTTATTTCGATGGATAAACTATTAACAAGCACGACATTTGTCCCTTTCCCACAAAAACTGTCCATCTTGTCGTGTTTTATGTCTTTACTTTATTCCTGGCTCGTCTTCAGTGCGCCTCTATTTTTTTCCCACCCATATTCCGGCAAACCATTCCTGCCTCCTGCACTGAGAATAGTTCATATTCGCAATAACTGGAGTAGTTGATGCTTGCAAAGCTTCCAGTGCTCAGGCTGTGTCGTGGTACATATTCACAAACCCTCCTAAACTAGGATTGGCTAGTAGTTCACTGCTTATTGTCAGTAGTTTGTTGTAGATGCTTCTCTAACCCACCCAGTGCATATCATTGAACATGTGTTCAATCAGGTGAGGGCTAAACTGTGCTGGGATGTGGTCCCGGACCCTTCTACTAGCCAATACTGGTAGGAGACAGGGTTTGTCAAGTACAGATGGGGGAAAAAACAGGGCGCCCATCTCCAAGCACTTGAACAAGAGTGTGAGAAAACCTCCTTTGTGTGTTGGTGTATCCGAGGCTGCGGCGTGGTGGCCTCAGAAAAGTCCAGTGGAAGGTCACAGTCCGGAAGCAGGCCCACGTTCAGAACGGTAACGTGTCGTGAAAGAGTTTGTCGATGGTGGCAGGCGTGGGAACCAAATCTTCGAGCTTCAGGTAAAAGATGCGCTGCAGTCCCTGCGTGCACAGGGTGCGCAGCTCCGGCAACTTGCTCAGCAGTTTCGACAAATGACTTTGGCAGTTCAGGGCACCGCCGTTACAGGACACGTGTTCCTTCAAGCAGCTTAAAATCTTGCTTTGAAGCTCCTCCATCTTCTTGGGCTCTTTAAGGCCGTGCCTCTCTGTGGAAGGCAAAGTAGAATACAGTAAAAAAAAAAGGTTGATGAATCTTGGTATGGACGTATGATTCTGTTTAATTGGTATAGAACAGGGGTGTCAGACTCAACCACTAAAGGGGCCATATTAAAAAAATTCATCAAATCAGTGGGACAGAGGAAAAAAAAATTTTAATTAATGTGGCCATTGTTTTTTCAAAATACACAAAAACCTCAGCAGGAAAATACAGACACTTGTAATAGACCCTGAAATATTACATGAATACTTGAAATATTCAAAATTTAAATGTCCCCAGGTGCTCAGTCTTTTAAACACCTGGCATCCTTTCTTTACTGCAAGTTCATTAAGACTTTGGCTCAATTTCTGAGCTGTTAAGCGAATATTAAGTGTTTATGTTGGTTGAACTGCAGCTGACATGCATTTTGGTGATGTGACTGGTGTGGAACTGTGTAGAATCGAGGTCTAACTGCTGTCCCATAGACTGCCGTTGGGGTAGGAGAGTCGGAGCGCATTGCGTTGCAGTGCATGCTGGGGACTGTAGTGCAGCGCATTGTGAAACGGGCCAATATTAATAGAAAATTAAAATACTTTTGCGGGCCGGGTGGGATTGTGTTTGCCTTGTGTTTGATACATGGAGGATAGAACCTTCAAAACTTAAAAAGGTTCATCATGCTTGCATTCTCATTTACAGAAGTGGTTCTTTATCTATTAAAAGGCTCCGTACACTTAACAAAAAGACTATATAGTAAAGGTTTATGAGTGGTTTCAAAGTAGTTTATTTATGGATGTTAATTAGGTCATAAACACCTTAAAATCATTAATAAGCATTTGTGACACGTTAGCATAAAAATCTGCTGAATATAAATATCTGAGTGAGCCAGGTATAATGCTGAGTGAGGGAGAAGATAAAGTAAGATAAGTTACCAGCAAGATCTGAGATTCAACAGTATAGATGAATGTGACCTCACTATTTGGAAAGCAACAGGTCACTGTTGCCCTTTTTATTTATTGTTAGTGCTTTTTAATGACATTTAATTAATAACCATCATGAAAAGTGTATGTTTCTATAAATGTATGTAAATATGTATGTAAATATAAATGTAAATATGTAAAGTGGTAAAAGTGTTTTTCTATAGAATTGCTCTGAAAAACTGTCTGTCTGACCTGTTAGCATTGTAAGGGCAGCCATGCAGGAGAAGGAAGAAACGTCCATGTTCATGCTCTGAAGGTTGGCGGAGAATTCCACAATGGAGTCGATCCACTCTCCGAAGGCTCGCACGCACTGCAGCTTATGCAAGACCACGCCGTTGCAAAAAATGAGCTTATCTTCTGCTATGTTCGATCTGAAAATGAGAATAGGCAACATTTAGATCAGGATTAGTCTGAGCTTAACATGCTGATTGGCAAATGTTTTTTTCAATGTCAGAAAGATGCTCAATTATATTTTAAGAACAGGAGCAGAAGGAAATATGGTGTGTACCTGTATGCCAACCGCAGAACAAAAAGTTCCAGGAAGGCTGACTCGAAGAGCAGCTCCTGGTCGCATTTGGGGAGATCAGTAAAGCCTGGCATCTTCTCTGCCCATCCACGGATGATGCTCATGGACCCCGTTAGGAGATCATAAAACTGCTGGACGTGGAGGCTTTCATCTGCAGCACTGTGGTAGTCGGGGCTTACCTGAAACTGAGGTGTTGGGGCAAAAAATGTAGCGGTCAGTTAACTAAGCCTACATTAAGTAGTACCTTGTTTTAACCAAACATTGTTAAAACACATTTACTTTTCCATTTCTAGCTTGAAGAATGCTTGTCAATTATTAATTGGTCAAACATGTTAATGTTGCTAACAATTAGAATGATGTTAATGTGCAGCTATTTCTGGTGGACCCTTTCCTCTAACATATATATTTCATTATCACAACAGGGATGCAGTGAAGCTCGCCACTCACTTTAGAGTAATCCAGGCGGCCTATGGAGGGGTTGGAGTCCATGTGGGCCCTTACCAGGGCACTCAGGAGACTGGCAGGCGACAAGGAGCTCGGGACGTCCTGTGGACTCTTGGGTTTGGACGGGAGCCGACCCCTTCGACCTTTTAGACTGTCTGTTCGTACAACTGGAAAATACACACCAACCCCTTTACAAATCCAGACAATTTCTCATTGCATTTATTTCATCAGGAACGGTGATGTGTAGGTATGTTGTAATTTCAAATGAGTGCAATGCTGTTCAAACGTAGTCGTACCTTCTTTCACCATCCCCACCACCAGACACTTCTGAAATCGGCAGTACTGGCATCTGTTCCTCCGCCTTTTATCAACGGGGCAGTTTTTGTTGGCCAGGCAAACATATTTGGCGTTTTTCTGCACCGTGCGCTACAGACAGACAATGCAGTAATCATTTCAACAGGAGTGTACCATCAAACAAGGAATCTAAACACTTAAATTACAGTGCAGTTTCATAATTGAAGAAGAGAAAAAGGGGCGCCTGCTCTCAAGCCTGGGCTCTCCAAAGCAAAGCTGTGTAATACATTCAAGGGCAGGACAGGGCAGACATTCAGTAAACACAGAGCCGTGGGCTGTCATAATTTGGGGTCCCCTGGCACTGACTCCCCCGACCTCTCTTGTCGGATTAGTGCGATGATCCCATCACCATGCCGAAATAAAGAGCCGGCTTAATTTCACCGTTGGGAGTTCCGCAGGGGTCTACTTGTGGTCCAATCCAATTTCATTTGACGCCAAATTCCTATTGGTGAGAGACGAGCGTTGCTGATTCCCCAGGTGCATATTGGCTCAAATGAATGAAAATAAACTAATTGAGGATACTGTAGACTAATATTAATCTACTTTATTTCCCCCTTTCTGTCTTAGAGTGGAAAATACTTTTAAACGTACTGTGTTGTTGTTTTTTTTTCTCCTTTTAAATTAGGCAAGAACTTTTAAGAACTAGGCTAAATTATATTTATTTCATTTAATTTATTCATTTTATTGTCATTCCAGAACAAGTGGACATGTAAGGGAACGAAATGAGGTACTCGGTTTGGGTTACGACAATAATAAAATGAAGAGTAAAGTACACAATAAAACACCATTAAAAATAAAACAAGTAAATAAATTTATATAAGTGTAAAGTGGGCAGAGTGAGAGGATAGAAATAAGACCACGAAAAATCTAAAAGGTAAACAAGGTGGCCAAGTGGGCCCAAGTTACAGACATGCCCGGACATGAAACAACAGTAATAATAACGGTAAATTGTTCAGTGAAACAGAGGGCAGCAATTGTACAATAGAACTACAGAATTAATATGGAATCTGATATGGAATCATACACTGTTAGAAATAAAGGTTCTGTGTGGATACATCTTTCGTTCATCAAGGTACGAACAGTGTGAATGTGCCCTCAAAGGTACAACTGTGGTTTTAAGGTCCAATTGTGAAGCTTAAATACGTTTTTCCAGGTGAAAAAGTACATATTTGTAGCTTTTCATATCCGAATGTTTTAAAACAGAACAATAAAATAATAAGCCTGGAGACGAGACGGGGTGTGTGGAGTCAGTACAACTTAGAACATATCATTTCAGCGGATTATGGTACAGTTATGTTCCTTGACTAAAGGTACTGAGATGTACCCTTAAGGGAACCACCCCAGTGGCCAGAGGGGAACCACCCTAGTGACAGTTTACTACCTTTATTTCTGAGAGTGCAGTTATAACAGCAGCAATTGTTCAGTGAGATACAGAATTTGCGTGAGATTTGGGGTTTGGGGGGGTGGCAATGAAAGTAAATACATTTTAACTTACCTTGAAAAAGCCCTTGCAGCCCTCGCACGTGCGCACTCCGTAGTGCTGGCAGGCGGCGTTGTCTCCGCACACGGCGCACAAGCCCTCGCTGGACGGGGATCCCCGGCACGGCGGCGAGCTCACCGGGCTCTCGGTGAGCGCGTGCGCGTGCCCGACGTGGAGCGGGTGTGGGAAGCCCACGCCGTGCTGCTTCCTGAGCGCCGCCGGCACGCTGAAGCCCGCGCTCTCCAGAGGCCGGTGCGCAGCCGGAGCGCCGTCGAAGCGCACGTGGCAGGCGCTGATGGGCGGCGGCGCACCGGCGGGACTCTGCTTGAAGGAGAACAGCCGGGACACGGCGTCCTTCCGCTGCTGCTCCATCACGTGAGACGCGGCCAGGTAGCCGTGGGAGAAGGCGTGCAGCGAGCCTGCGTCTTCCCACACGTGGTGCGACGGCGGCGGCGGAGGTGGAGGAGGTGGCGGATGCGCGGAGAAGCCCGGAGCAGCCGGTTTGTAGTATCCGCCGTGGGACGACGTCCCGTCTTCGGCTTGGGGCGGGTAGCCGTGCGCGTGCATGTCCTCGGCTTTGATGCACAGGTGCTCTCCGGAGTGGGCCGCCTGGTAGAGGCAGGGCGCCTTCGAGTCGTAGCTCGTGCCGCCGGTGCCCTCCGCGAACGTGCTGAAGCTGGGCAGCGCAGAGGCGATCTCGGCGTTGGTCAGGTCCATGCTGAACTTGACGAACTCCGGGGTGAGCAGGTCGCAGCTGTAGTCTCCCGCCGCCGCGCTGTACGTGTAGGTCTGGCACGCGGGACTGGCGCCCGGCGGAGAGCTTCCGTACTGAGCCTGGACACAGGGCATGGCTGAGGAGGGGAGGATCGGAGATGATTCATTATGATGCACAGGAACAGAACAACCAGTGTAGACTTAGATTTATCCTTCAGATTTCAAGAATGCGCATCTACACTTCATGATGAAGGGATGGTTCACCAAAAAAATCCCCCAAACGCAGTCGACTGGCAAAAGACGTGTTTGGTGTTTGAAGTTCGCTTCTTTAATTTTGCACTGGAGCTGCGTGGCTCATATATAACTGAAGTGTATGTCACCCAAGTTTTTAGATTTCCACTAGCCATCTTCTTAGCTAGATTAGCCTCAGACACCAAATCTGTCTTGACTGATCAACTAAGTTTAACCCTGCTGAAAAAGGACCATTAAAAACTGTGCTTTCTAATGGGAATTGGCTCAACAGTTTCCAATAGAGACCACTAGCTGCCTGTAGAATACTTTCAGATCCCATTAGTAGACCATCAAACGCATTTAGAATCAGCCACTGGTCACCTGTTAAACCATTAGGATCATTTACACTGTAATATCAACCATTTAAAAAAGCCAAAAAAAAAAAACATTACAGAACCAACAGAAACACTTTTCTATGTTTTTGTCAGCGGGGGATGTATAAAGAATATTGTTCAAATTTGATTTTTTGGTGAACCGTTACTTTAATATCTGCAGTGCTGATTTAACACAGTGCTGAAAGAAAGTATGTACAGTGCTGAATTTTAGCTACAGTACTGACTGGCCGCCTGAGTTGAGTTGCAATGCTAACACCTACGGTGTAAACTGAAACCCATTTGGACACAAACACACAGTGATAGAGCGAGTTTCACACAGCAGGTGTAAATTCAAGGCTCGCCTGTGAGAGATGGGGGTGTTGCTGTAGAAGGCATGATTCTGTAGACGCCTTTAAACTCTTTAAAACGTTAAAAAAACAGTGCTGAATCAGGGAAGTTAGAGCACTTTCTCAGTTCACTCTTTACCTCCGAACACCTGCTTCTTCGGTTCTCGGGGAATCGCTGCAGTTCGCGTTCGGCCGGTAAGAAGCGCCGTGACTCGGTGACTTTCCGCCGAGCTCCTGTGGACGAAAAACGGCGAAAACACACAAAGCTGTCAGCTTTTTATTCTATCTGCTAGCCTCTTGTTCGAATTTTCCCCTTTGCCAGAATGTAACTGCTGCACCATTTAAGGTGGAACAGGGAAATTTGAACAAGAGGCGCCAGAATGATTTTTATTCACTGATACGAAGCTGAAGTTCTTAGCCTTTTCGACAGCTTATTGTTCGAATTTGCCGTTCCACCTTAAATGGTGCAGCAGTTACATTCTGGCGGCCGAGGCAAGAAGGGTCTGAATGTAACTGCTGCACCGTTTAAGGTGGAACGGGAAAATACGAACGAGAAGCTGGCGAATAGGAAGCCAACTTCAGCCTCGTAAACACAAACAAACTTTTCACCGGCGACATTTTCAGCTAATGACAAAATGACAGCTTGTCTTTTCAGTCAGCCGTCTTCACAAAACATCGAAAAATAGCACAAACTTAGTTTGTAAGGATAGACTCTGACTAAAAAAGGGGGTTAGATGAAGTAATGTGCATAAAAATTCGCCTCAAAAACAAAAAACGAAAACAAAAAGACGATTTTCCTCCACTTTACCTCAGTTTTTAAACCGTTAGGGTCTCATCCGCGGAGCTCGCGCTCTGTCAGTTCCCGCGTCTCGACTCCACTTGCGCTCCTCGCGACTCCAGCGCTCTGCTGCTCACTGGCGCTCGAGCGCAACGTGCCTTTGTTTATGGGCTCGGAGCGCTGCGACCCACGTGCCAGCGCGCCCACACGTCATCGGCGTCAGGCTTTGACGCGTTGGGGGCGAGCGCGCGCGCGGGGACAACAGGCTCCGGTATGTGTGTGTATGTGTATGTGTATGTGTGTGCGTGTGGTCGCCGCTTTCGCATGCACGCGGGGGCTTCCGCGCAGAGTGGAAAGGAATCGAGCCCCGCACGCGCGTCCCTCTGCTATTGCAACTGCGTGTGGTTGTGAATTTACATCCTTGTTTGTTGCGTTAGTGAGGGCCAGTGGAGTGACCGTTGAGTTGAGGGGCGTTTAACAGGGTTGAAATGTACCATAAACAAAATTATTAATTCTCAGAAAATGTGCAATATCCAACCCAGGCTAACCCACATTATTTCCGGCCCATTTTTTAATCTCTGCACATTTTTGGTGTTGGGGGGCTTTTCTTTTTTTAATGTGGTGAACTGAGGGGCTTTTTTCATTTATGTATTCGTTACATACTCAAGGGCTATTCATTCATCTAATTTTTGCACCTGCAAGAGACTGTCCCCATCTGTCATTAGGCTTATTCAAGCCTTGTGGTCTGAGGGCCCTGGCAGTCTGAGGCCCCTGGGCACTGGCCCCTCTGACCATCCTTGAACTCACCCCAGCACTACACACATAGCTCTGACATCTATTTATCTCCATTTATTCAGAATGGTAAAAGTAAGTGGGGCTATTAATGGGGGAGCGTAGGGGCCAGTTGCACCGGGGTCTATAGCACTGGGGGCCCACATCTGACCAGTCTATACAGGGCCCTTCATTTAGATACTGACACAGCTGCACTCCCATGACTCACAGCAAGCTGTCATTTCTTCACAGCACACTTCCATCAACAATATAAACCACTCATACATTTTACACCTGTCTCACACTATAGAGATCTTTACCTGTTCATACTAACGCCCTCATGGAAATCACGGAATTTATCCTGATTCTCATTCTTCTTAAATAACTTCTGAAAGGCTTCGGTGATCTGAACCCAAGTATAGACAGAGTAAATATCTAGGCCTGTGCCTGGTGACGGTTTAGCTCATCGTGGTGACAGCCCCCAGAGGCATGAACATAACTGAGCTCTTAAACATTGGGTGATATCGTGCCTGTACAAAAAGCTGCTTCTGCCCTCCTGAGTGGGCAACCGTCTTAGCATTGGCCCTCCATCAGGAGATCACCTAGCATCACCCCAGTGGTGCTACAGCCATCCGTGGCCAGGAGTCCAAGAGAGCACAATTGGCCTCGCTCTCTCTGGGTAGGTAGGATGGTGGGATGGCCTTCCCTCTTCCCTCCATCACTCAGCGCAGTGCTAGCCAGTGCAGGTGTCTGTTAGCTGACATAACAGAACTGGTGGTTAGCGCTCTCCTTCAAGCGTGTTCAGCTGTCCAGTGACATCACGTTAGCGGCAGTTTGAAAAGATGTGATGGCTGGTTTGACATGACTCGGAGGAAGCTTTTGTTTGCCTTCGTCCTCCTAGCACAGGTGGTGTCATGTGATTGGAGTCCTAACTATAGTGGGTGGAATTGAATACAATGAAATTGGGGAGAAAATTGGAAAAAATCCCACTTCTGTTGTACGGTGTCCATTTTAGCACATTCTAATGCCTTAGAGTCAGGCTTCAATCTCGGGAAATACTTGAGTAAAAATGCATCTTAGCTTTCATACGTCAGGTGAAACAAGTTGTTTCAAATGGTCTCAGGCGAGATACCTTTAGGAAAAGAGCTAAGCTAAGCTACTGCAAACTCTTAAACAGTAAAATTTGTGTGGCTTTCTAATTTTAATTTTTCTTATTAGATTAATTACATTTTCGTTGCGAAATTAAAGAGAACAGGCCTACTGAACTCTATTTACTTCCCTCTTATTCATAATGCATCTCAGCCATGGCCTCCACTTTCAAACAGATTCTTCACAACATGCAACATTCATAAAATACCATTTTATTTCAATATGTATATCGAACAGTAAGACTTCTCGGGAATTTCTCGGAACTTCTCGGAAATTTGTCCAGTGGGGCATCAGACAGCTATGATGTACAATTACTGTGATCCAAACACATAAACATATAGGTGAACATTAGATGCGAGTGGGCGGTGTGGTATACCTGGCCACTTGCTGACATAACAAGTAAACAAGCAAATTACATTGTAATTTTGAATTAATTGAAAGTAATCTTCATATGAAGGGACTCATACATTCCTGGTTACACCTAGTTATGGTGGACGAGGTTCAGTGTTAAGGGGTGAGAACCCACATACACACATAAAATAAAATTTAAATATGACTGAAAATACACAATTGGACAACTTATTGGTGTTTGTGTAACTGAAGTCATAGCAGTGGTGAACCATGACTATTACAGCTAGGCTTTCAATTCAGGCTATACATCAGGGGTGCACAACTCCAGTCCTGGAGAGTTGTGCACCCCTGCTATACATGTTAAAATTCAGTCAAAATGTGAGTAAAACCCCGTTTCTATGAGATTCAAGCAGTTTGCACTAAGCTATCAGTGATTCACATGAACATTTTTTTTTTTTTGGCAGTTTTAGGTTAAACACAGACATTTGAGGCTTTTATTTGTTTTACTTGAAGTATAGCATATAGTTCACCTTGTAGCAGTTTCACAGCGACTCTTTCATTAGAGAGACCTGTTTCAGTAGGAAAAACAAACCTGATTAGGCAGCCACTCATATTCACAGTCAGTAACGTTTCTCAGTGATGTCAATTTCTCACAGAATTGGTCCCGGCCTATCGGACGTAAAAAGTGATTGGTTGATTCCTCTGTCATGTCATAATTTCGGTGATGGTTAATCTGACGCATTAGGACTTCTCTTCAGCTCTAGGAATCCTACCCAATAGGAGAGCTCGCTTAGCTACATCTAACTAGATACCACAGAGAAAAACAGCTTCTGAAACAAGAGTAGCACTGTAATACTTGCAGAGTCAGAATGCAAGCATCATTCTATTAAATAAAAACCAAAAAAATTACAAACATGCATTTATTAGTTTTAAGAAACAACTAAACAACATTTTTTGAAGGGCCAGAATGCCCTAAGTGTTCCCCTCTGAGTTACAGTGCAACAGCTTTAATGCAAAGGTATCCATCTGTACTGAGTGAACAGTGTCAGCAATACTGTCCTTTTTATACATTTTACGGGCCCATAAGTAAGTGGACAGTGGATTGCTAAGTTAATACTTGACCAGCTGTGTGTTGTTACATCATTAGAGAAGTAACGAAAAGTTCCACACAGTTAAAAAAAAAAATCTGGCAGCTGAAGTGTCAGAAAAAAACAATAATAAATGGTAAAAGTCAGGGTTTTCTTAATTTAATTTCTCACTGCTTCTACTGTAATTCAACAGTTTTAATAGTTCAACTAGTTTTTTTTTCTGACAAACAGTATTTTACCATAATAATAACTGTAACAACCATTAAAATAAATGTGAATATTGGTGATCATTTGTCTTTGTGAATTTACATTCTCAGCAATGTTAAAATACAGTGTATGTAAGATTTATTTATATGCATTTAACCTAAAAAGCATATATATATATATATATATATATATATATATATATATATATATATATATATACACACACACACACACATATATAATAATATATATATATTCTAGATATATATTCTAGAAGTGGCACTCAACAAGAGGGCCTATAAAGCAGACTGAAATATCATAATAACTCAATCAGAGACACATTAGATGTGTCAAAGACTGCATTGCTGAGCTTAGCAGTAGGAAAAATAGATCTCACAAGAACACAGTGGTGAGTGCCACATTCGATCATGAGGGAAAACCCCTTTGCAGCTGTTAAACTGAACAACAAAACCCTCCAGCACAGGCCAAGGTGTGCCGACGACTACTATAAATAGACGAATACAATAGCTTGCCCTCAAGATGTAAAGCACTGGTAAGCAAAACATAACAAGGTTTGGGCCTACATCACTATTCACTACAACCAGAGCTGAGCAGTGTAACATAGAGGTCACTGATATGAAACAGTCCAGAAGTAGAAGTAAAACAAAAGCAGAAGTAAACACAAACCAACTCGAGTAGGGGTGAAAAAGTATTAGGTCAAAAAACTCCTTGAATCCTGACGCCTCTGTAGAACTACAGTGGAACTTCTTACCACATCTAGCATTAATCAGCATGAAGCTTGTTATACTTCTGTTTTTGGGATCATTTTGGTCTATAATAAAATACTAGAGCTCTAAAGTTGAGCTAATTCAACAGAACAGAATGAAATTAAACCCAAAAAATGGCTGAAATGGAAGTGAGGAAAAAATAGATTCCTTTGTTCGCAAATACACTTGAGCAGTAGTGAAAGTTTTAGCATGTGAAAAGCAGAAAAGTAGAAAACCATCACAATTTTACTACTTGGAACCAAGATGTTATGGTAAGTAACCTGATAGCAGGTATAGTAAGATGCTCTGAGCTTTAGTGATGGCATTAGAAATGATATCGCTGCTGTCAGAAGAAAACTTTGTATCTCCATTTTTGTCGTTTTTCAGTTTTTGACATTATTTTAAAAAAGGCTGTTGTCCTTTACATTGTGTGTAAATTTCATGAAGAATGAGCCAAAAGAAATGACCCAAAATGACTTGGAAAAAAGTCTGGTTCCATTGACTTACATTAAAAGTAATGTAGGTTTTTTTCCTTCTCCTGTAAAGTTACCATTTTGAGCCAGAGTGTTTGTGATGTCAGGAAAAACTTATTTGTATGTATCTGCCTATTGAGTTTACAGACCTTCAGCCCTGTACATTCACACAATCACAGAACACAGAACACAGGTAAATTACATAGAGTACTATGGAAACATCATAAATGTATTCAATTTCCAGTTCCAAAGTTCTTACAATTCCCAGTTCTTCCTTACTTACAAAGAGGGGTCCGGCATTCTAGTGACAGGTAGAAGCCGCACAGAACTCCAGCCAAAGTTCTCAGAGTTCTCCCCCCTCCCTCAATCAATCCTCCCTCATACTACCATCACCATGTTGCAGCCGCAGTCCAAACTCGTAAACTGTACTTAAAGCTTACATCTCTGAGAGAGATGAGGAAATACAGCTCAACTTTTGCTTCAGATCTGAAAAAATCAGTTTCTGTCCATCCTTCCACTGTGAGAAGACAACTCAGCACTATTATAATTTGATATTATCTGAGCTTTTTTCCCATAACACATAAGAATGAACAATATGTACTTAATAGCCATTTTGACTGGAAATTAAATAAATGAAGGGTGTGGTCTCTGACTGTTGCTCAGTACTGTACATTGTTTGGAAAATTAGAGTAAGAAAAACACACTGTTTAATTCTAAATTAAGAGAGTGTTAGTTATAAAGTGAGGTTGGAAAATGAATTCAAACATGAATTATGACTTTTTTGGTACATAAAAACACACAAATGCCAAAAATGGATCTCAAGAGGGAAAAATACAGTATAGGACATTAGTGCTTTGTGTTGTTAGGCTTACACAACATGTAGTTATGTTATAACTGAAGTTTGGGGGGAGGAACATGCCTGAAACCCCTCCTTCTTCCAATCTAATGCCCTATAAATTCACATCCTCACCTTCCGTTCCCGTGACAAAGAGTTCGCAATTCCCACTGCCACCCCATCTCCTCCCTGGTCCTCAGTCCTGCATCAGTCCTACTACAGCTATGAGGGGGGTCTGGCCTTCTAGCAGCAGGCAGAAGCTGCCCAGAACTCCAGCCCAAGTTCTCTGAGTTCTTCTCCTCCCTAATACTACCACCACCATGTTGAAGGCACGGTCTGAACTCACAAAATTCTATTTATAACATGAATTCTATATAGAACCATTTTATGCTTAAATGGTTCTTTGCATGGTGAAATGCTTTGTCAGACGAATGGAGAATGTGTTGTATAAAAGAGTTACAAGCCTGCCATTGTAACAACAGCAGAACCCTTTTTGGTGCTATATAGAACCATATACAACACATTCTCCATCAATCCGAAGAACCATTTCACCATGCAAAGAACCATTTAAGCATGACGCTGCTGTTGGAACAAAACCCGGTATCTCCAAAATCCTAACTTTACAGTAGAAGGAAAAAACCTACTTTACTTTTAATGTAAGTCAATAAAACCAGACTTTTTTCCAAGTAAATTTAGACCTTTAATTTGCTCCATTTATTGTGAAATTTACACACAATGTAAGGAGCAACAGACATTATCAAATTATGTCAAAAACTGAAAAACGAGATACAAGTTTGTGTTCCGACAGCTGCAATGAAATGGTTCTACGTAGAACTCATGGTTATAAATAGCTAGAACCACTCCCTTCACTAAAGAACCCTTGAAGAACTATCCTTTTTTAGGAGCGTAGGTGTTCTATCAAGACTGTAAGGAGTTAATTTGTTGATGTAGCATCGCTATATTTCACTACTGACTTAGATTAATGTCAAAAAAGTCTACTGAGCTGAAACCTGTGGCGTTGCTTTAACACGTGCAGCGGTCATTCAGCCCAGCCACACACAAGCGCATGGAGCTAAACGCTAATTCAGCACTGGGGATTTTTACTGTCCACCTCCCATTTAATCCCACTGAACATAAAGTGAGGTGAATGGAGTGGTCACAGCTGACATTTAGCACAGCTTAGACTAAACTGTGCTTATTTATCAGAGCTGTAGTGTTTCACTCCATATGTCTTCAGCAAAAGAGCAAAAAAAAACAAAAAAATAAATCTGTCTGAGTGAACACGTGACTCTGCGCGCCAAAACAAACAGGAACCGCTGGTGTTTACGATACTGGTAAATCGGAATTTTTTGGCGTTAATTAAGTGACCTTTTTTCTAAAGATTTCCCTTCACCACATCAACCTACAGCCTGTGGAGGAGCCGTGACAAAAGCGTGGTCAGGACGTGCCGTCATGCATTAGTTAGAAGAGAAGTGAAGCCCAATAGCAGAAACACAATACAGCCGAATGACGCGATGCTTCCGCCGCCTTCCATCACGTTTTGGGAAAGTTTCAGTAAACGGAGGCTGCGCTTAAATCCGATCCCAGGCTCAGCGAGCCTCTGCCTGAAGGCTTTCCATTGTACTGAGGGAATCCCGGACTGACAGAGGCAACTTTGTCTGGGCTGGAGTTGACTGCGTCACCGTTACGTCAGCAGCCCCAACTCCCATGACGCCTGATAGCCGTCTTTTTTTGGGGGTGGTGGGGGAAGGGGGGGATGCTAGCCTTAGAGCACCTGCACCAGGCCCAAGGAGAAACCCCTCTGAAAGAAAAAGCACACACACACACACACAAAGGCTTAAACACATTCATCCTCAAAGTTCATGTGAAACACTGGAAGCGGATTAAAGTGTTTTTTAACGTTTGGCATATACTAAAAGGACAAGATATAAACATTGAGTAGTTTAGTGTAAAATGCTTCATTCTAGAGAAACACGCTGGGTCACAGTGGTTTACAGTGGTGAACCAGAGGGGAATTCCACCAGGTTTTCAAAATTTCTTCATAATGCAGTCCTTGAGATGTAAACCAGAGTGGTTTGGTTCATATAATGGTTCATTAGAGAGAAACTGACTGACTCTGTTTTCGTTACAGTGGTGGTGATAGGAACCAGGGGCCATTTTATTTACTATACAAAACCACCAGTGAAACTACATGTGTCTACTGAGTTTTTAAACGCAGTGTTGATAATGGCAAAATAGTCATAAATCTTAAAAAATAAGTTTTCTTTGGGGACTATTTGCAGTGCATGGACCCCTCCACCATGAATGGGTTAAAATAAATTGACTCAAGTGCATATTGAGCCAAAATTTTATCACAAAACTGGAAACAATGTGTCAGACATCAGGCAGCATAAATCCAACAATTTCATGTAATAACTTTCTATGAGGGGCCTTTTAGAGGTGGATGTCTGGTTCCTATCAACACCACGGTGAACAATTCTGACTCTAGTTTCTCTAGAATGGAGCATTTTACACCAAACCACTCTGAATGACTTTGTTTACATCGACCATTTAATGATGTAGAATTTTTTGAAAAATCGGTGGAGTTCCCCTCTAATGTCCCTAAAAGGTAGAGAAACATGTAATAGTTACAAATATGTTCTGCCTGATGCCTGAGACAATGTTTTATGACAGTTTTTTATTTGTTTCAAAATGTATTTGTTTTAAACCGTTCATGCAGGTACATGCAAAGCGTTGTAAGGCAAATAATCCCAAAGAAAATATATGTTTTTTTTTCAGATTTGACTATTTTATCATTGGCAATGTTACATATAAAAACTCAGAAGACACATGTAGGTTCACTATTTTGGATAGTACATAAGTTGGCTATTTTAAGGTTGTAGACATCGCAACCCCTGGTTCCTTTCACCACCACTGTGAAGAAATCCAAGCTGGTTTCTCAGCAGAGCCATTTTACATCACACCACTCTGACTGGCTTCTTACACCTTTTTACATCTACATGTTTACATCTCAACCATTGAATCATGCGGTAATTTTGTAAAATTCGGTGGAGTTCCCCTTTAAGCACTGTTTTGAGACTTGAGTCTGTAATGAATTCAACCAACAGCCTCGTTTCATGCAAGGTTGAATATAAAACCACGCAGACTCATTCGTTATGCATAACATGTGATAATATGCAAATTATTGACCTCTGCTTTTCTCATAGTGTCACATTAAATAACTACACGTTTCATACTTCTCGTTCGCACGTGTAATCTCGTACACAGCACGGCTCTTGTCTGATAGCGATATAAAAAAAGACGTTTGCCAACCCTAAATCCCGGTTACGTCAGGAGTGATAACATCGGAACACGCCTACTAAAATGTGATTGGACAAGAGAAGGAATCTCACAATCTGATTGGAGGATCCGCGTGTCCGTCAAACTCCACCCGAAACGCTAGACTTCTTCCTGGATAAGAAATGCTGTAACAACGGTGTAGTTACCGGCAGTATCTATGCTTTTCCTATGTGGGTAGCCCACCTTTATCACCAGAAACACAACAATTAGTAAGTAAAATAACTACATACATTCTTTTGTTATGGTCGTGTTACAGTTAAGACATTCACCGAGGCTGTTAGCCTAGTTCACAGAGCCTGAGGCAGCGGCTAGCCAGCCGGGTGGTGGATCTCTGTGACCATCACTGCTCCCTCCGGGAAATTAGAGCGCCGTGTCTGTGGACTGGTTCACGTCTGCTTGGTGAAGAGAGATAACGGCCTGTATGTTGGAATAAACCTCACAACAGCGGATGTTTGTCGTGTTAACGGTAGACACGTGTGATGCTGAGGGATACAGTTAGCTCGTGTACCATCAGGCGTTCATCCTGACCACATTTCAGTAAGTTAGCAGTTCTGTAAAGACTGAGTTTCACAGAAAATAATAGCCTCGTTAAAAGAAACACTGCAGTTTTACAACAAGACTAAACATTCTGTCATATTTTTGTCGTATAGCTGAAGGAAAGGGTTGCGAGAGGGCTGTGGTAACTTAAATAAACAGGTTTTTCACGGTACACTCTTAAAAAGTTGGTTCTTCAATGGTTCTTTAGTAAAGGATATGGTTCTATTTAGAACAATGAGTTCTTTATAGAACCATTTCATGCTTAAATGGTTCTTAGCATGGTGAAATGTTTCCTCAGATTGATGGAGAATGTGTTTTGTATGTGATTCCCTATAGAACAAGCACCAAAAAGGGTTCTGCTGTTACAAACTTGACATCATAACAGTAGAAGAACCCTTTCTGGTGCCATTTTCCCGAAGGCTCTGTATAGAACCATATATAATATACCATATACCATGAGTTCTATATAGAACCATTTAATGCTTAAATGGTTTTTAGCATGGTGAAACTGTTCCCCAGATTGATGGAGAATGTGTTGTATGTGGTTCTCTATAAACCCTTTTGAAAATGGTCCTATCTAGCACCGAAAAAGTGTTCCTCTACTGTTACGATGTTGACATTATAACAAGAGAAGAACCCTTTCTAGCGCTATATAGACCCATTTTCCAAAATGTTCTATATAGAACCATATCCAACACATTCTTCATCACGAAAGGGAAAGGGAAATGGTGCTATTTAGAACCATGAGTTCTATATAGAACTATTTCATGCTTAAATGGTTCTTTACATGGTGAAAATGTTCTTCAGATTGATGGAGAGTGTGTTGTATGTGGTTCTCTGTAGAACCTTTTTGAAAAGCTGGACATTGTAACAATAGAAGAACCCTTTTTGATGCTACATAGACCTATTTTCCAAAAGAGGTTCTTTAGGTAAGAGAATGGTTCTATTTAGTACCATGAGTTCTATATAGAACCATTTCATGTCTACATGGTTCTTTGCATGGTGAAACGGTTCTAAAGATTGATGGAGACTGTGTTACATGTGGCTTTCAATAGAACCTTTTTGGAAGTGGTTCTATGTAGCACCAAAATAGGTTCCTCTATTGTTACAAGGTTGACATTATAACAATAGAAGAACCCTTCCTGGTGCTATATAGAACCATTTTCCAAATTATTCTATATAGAACCATATCCAACACATTCTTCATCACGGTTACTCTAGTAAAGGGAAATGGTGCTATTTAGTATCATGAGTTCTATATAACAATAGAATGTGCTATATAGAACCATATAAAACACATTCTCATGAATCTGAGGAACCATTTCGCCATGCACAGAACCACTTATGCTTGCTGAACAGATGAAATGGTTCTATATGGTTCTGTATAGAACTCATGGTTCTAAGTAAATCCATTCCCTTTACTAGTTAAGTATTTTGTTTTACTGCTCTTGTATTACGACTTATAATTGCATTAAAACAGTCACAGGGAAGTTACTTACTGAATTATGTTTATGGCAGGTAAGAGCATTTGACAGCAATAATCAATGTAAATTAGCTATGACAATAATTTTGCAAGTAAAATGGGTTAACAGTAATAGAGCATGTCTTGATGTTTAGCACTGGGACTGAAAAAGCAGACCAAGTGGGTGTGCAGTGCTGAGTCACTGGACTGTTATCATGTTTAGATAGACTACATTGTAACTTGCAATTAAGCCCAGGATCTCCCTCATTAGGTCCAGTAACTCATTTGCTAGCCAGCTGCATGATATAATGTTTGCCTGTAGCCTTCACTCACATGCTCGCGCGCACACAGCCGGCCCATGCAGGGCCCGCATGGATTCAAACAGTGTCGTAAAGTGACTCATTCACTTCCTAAAGCAGGTATAACTTCCGGTCATGCTGTGCTCTTTTGACCGTCCGCTGTAGATGAAGAGAGGCTGGGACTAGGATGTGTCTGTTTGTCCTTCTGTCAGAGATTTGTGAGCTTTTCTCTGACCTACTGACACAAAGCTAGACCTTTTTTGTTTACTAGAACTATATATAGACCTGAGGTCTGGTCAGTATGTTCACTCAACACAGGTGATGGGGTTGCCAGCTGGACAAGAACCAAAGGAGATTCAGGGCAAAGTGTGCTTGAACTCAGAGTTATCTGATGGCTTTGGTTATCAGTGCTGCTTTTCATTCTTTCGGGCTTCTTCCAATTCAGCCACCTCGTTACTCAGTGCTCAAACTGATGAGACAGGTTGAATTGAATATGCATCTGGGGAAACGATCCAGAAGTACGTGTGGTTTATGAATAAGCTGTAGAACTGGACAGCGGTCATAGGTGAAGATCATTTAGGTTTGATCATTCAAAGAGTGTAACTACGCAGATCCACTTAAGCTATTGCATGTAAACAGTGCTTGAGAGATACACTGATCAGGCATAACATTATGACCACCTCCTTGTTTCTATGCTCATTGTCCATTTTATCAGCTCCACTTACTATATAGGTGCACTTTGTAGTTCTACAGTTACAGACTGTAGTCCATCTGTTTCTCTGCATACTTTGTAAGCCCCCTTTCACCCTGTTCTTCAGTGGTCAGGACCCCCATGCTCACAGAGCAGGTATTATTTGGGTGGTGGATCATTCTCAGCACTGCAGTAACACTGACGTGGTGGTGGTGTGTTAGTGTGTGTTGCGCTGGTCTGAGTGGATCAGACACAGCAGTGTTGCTGGAGTTTTTAAACACTGTGTCCACTCACTGTCCACTCCTACCTTGTCAGTCCACCTTGTAGATGTAAAGTCAGAGACGATAGCTCATCTGCTGCTGCACAGTTTATGTTGGTCATCCTCTAGTCCTTCATCAGTGGTCACAGGACGCTGTTGGCTGGATATTTTTGGTTGGTGGACTGTTCTCAGTCCAGCAGTGACACTGAGGTGTTTAAAAACTCCAGCAGCACTGCTGTGTCTGATCCACTCAGACCAGCACAACACACACTAACACACCACCACCACGTCAGTGTTACTGCAGTGCTGAGAATGATCCACCACCCAAATAATACCTGCTCTGTGAGCATGGGGGTCCTGACCACTGAAGAACAGGGTGAAAGGGGGCTAACAAAGTATGCAGAGAAACAGATGGACTACAGTCTGTAATTGTAGAACTACAAAGTGCACCTATATAGTAAGTGGAGCTAAAAATAGACAATGAGTGTAGAAACAAGAAGGTGGTCATAATGTTATGCCTGATCGGTGTATGATATCCAGGCATTCTGTGCTGCAGGTCTAGCGAGTGTGTCTGCTTCTTTAAATGTGCCTTGAGGCTATTAGTTACAAAGCTTCAGCGCTTACTGGGTGCTTGTGTACATTAATGTCTCCTTGAAACGCTGCCAGTTTGAATCTGTGCTTAACGAATGTTGTCATTACAAAACTGATTTCAGAGTAAGTGGACTGTTCAGAGTGTTGCAATAATGTTGGAGGTGTTATGGTCAAAGGGGATTTCCACCAGTTTTCTAAAATTCCTGCATTATTAAATCAAGTTGAAAACAAAGCAGTTCAGAGTGATTTAATGTGACTTGCATTGTTCTAAAGAAACATTTTCTTGTTCAATGGCTCTAGAAGTTACCTCACAGAAAGTTTATATGAATATGTTATAAGAAGATAAGGTTTTGGCCAAAGAACATATTTTTCAAAGTACCTTAATGGTGGAGAGTTACATGCGGACGTTATAAACCAAAATAGTGTCCAAAGAAAACAATTTTTTTCAAGTTTCCCACTATTTTACCATTATCAACATTCATATAGAAGCTCAGAAGACACATGTAGGTTCACTGGTCTTCTAGGGTAGTCAATAAAATGGGTGTATTTGCATTGTAGATGTTGCGACCCCTGGTTTCTATCACAACCACTGTAAAGAACAATGTAAAAAAAAGAGTTTCTCCATCACTAACATCAAACCACTCTGAATGACTGCTCACATCTCAGCCACTGAATTATGCAGAAATTTTGAAAAATCAGTGGAATTTCCTTTAAGTGGTTCATTTATCTTTTATCTTTTCACAAAGATAGTTAAAAAAGTGGAGTGGATTCCAGTTAAATCTGAATTTGACAAATTGTATTAATTTATCGCAGAGACCAATGGCGTTCCGGAAAGCAGTAAAGGGAACCCTGATAGGGGGCGGAGCCGTAGCCACAGCCTTTGGCCTATCACAGTTCTTTGAGTACAGGAGGAATCAGGTAAGCATTTGGGCTCGATTAACCTGTGGTCCCCTCTTATCCTTTTATATTTGACCTCCACACACTGACAGCAACAACAGGAGTGGCTAAGTCAGCTAATTTGTGTACATGTCTATTCCTGACTCAGGAATGTGTTCTCTGTGTTAAGCCTTGTGTAACATTCCTCAGTGTTTGCCAGATACCTTGTTCACAAGGAACATCGTTACTTAGAACATCTTCACACATAAGCATGATAAGGCGTGCTTCATTAAAGCAAAGTTCTGACATAAATTAAATTGACATTTTTCCCACTACACAGTTTTCCCCTCAGCCTCAAATGTCGTCGATCAGCCTAGAGTTTTAATCTGGCCTGAAATTTGGGTCAAAACCCAAATACAACCTGAGAACTTTCTCTCTGACTCAGTATACGCGTCACATTTTGAGTGAAACTGAGCTCGACCCAAAACTCTGTCCGAACCTGAGCCAACACACAAGTTTTGAGTCCAAAACTGACTTAAGATCTACAAAATTCTGTCTTGACCTGACCAGAACAATCCCATCATCACCCAAATAGCACCAGTAATATTGTCAATAGATCACAGAAAAATAAAATAAAACATAAAATAATCAGCATGTCCAGAATTAGGTCTAAATCTCACTTTAACTGATCTCACTTTAATCAAGCAATGTTTTTGAACAATATCTCAAAGTTTTATTCTGGACAATAATCTATCTGAAGTTTTAGTCCCTTACAGATCACATTCCTCTGAAACTTGCTGAAATCTCAGCTGCATGAGCTATTTTGCAAGCTATCTAGCATTATTTTTTCCCAATTTTCTCCCTAATTTAGTAATATCCAATTCCACCCATCAGTTGGGACTCCCCCCAAATCACATGAAAGCTAGCACAGACTTCCTCCGAGACCGGTAAAGTGAGCCACCACATCTTTCTGAACTACAGCTAATGCGCTCAACAGCTGAATGCTGTTAAACAGTTATTTCTAAAAATGTAAAAAAAAAATGTTTTTACCAAATTTCCATTAAGTAAGTTCGGCTGAAAGATTAATTGCAAGTTTCAAATCACAAGAGCTGCATCAATTTTTACCCAGTTTTCTCCCCAATTTAGTCGTAGCCAATTCCACCCGCTAGTTAGGACTCCCCCAATCACACACGACGCTATCAATGCTAGGATGGCGAGGCTAACACAGGCTTCCTCCGAGACCTGTGAAACCAGCCACCGCATCTTTTCAAGCTGCCGCTCACGCAACGTCACTGGACAGCCGAACGTGCTTGGAGGAAAGCGCCAACCGCCAGATCTGTTACGTCAGCTAACAGACGCCTGCGCTGACTAGCATCGCGCTTAGTGAGTGATGGGGGGAGAAGGGCAGCCATCCCCCCTACCCAGAGAGAGCGAGGCCAATTGTGCTCTCGGACTCCCGGCTACGGACGGCTGTAGCATCACCAGGGATCGAACTCGCGATCTCCTGATGATAGGGCCAACGCTTAGACGGTTGCGCCACTCGGGAGCCCCCAAGAGCTGCAATGTTAAAAAAAGTTGTAGCCTATATTTTAAAAAACGTTTTAAGAGGGAAAACAAAACCAATTAACACAGAATTTGAGAACTGTCTATAGATAAGGTAGACCAATCAGAGGGAACCAAACTCCAGGTTTTGTGACATCACAACCACAACTTGCTGGCAGTCTGGCACAGTGCATTAAGGGCTCAAGCCTCAAGCTAGTAAAGGTCGATATTCTGGTCTTGTCAAAAAAAAGGGCCTGAACCTTAATTTATAGAATATAATCGCAATTTAAATCGCAATATTCGTCAGAAAAATTGCAATTAGATATTTTATCCAAATCGTTCAGCCCTACTGGTAAGTAGCCTTCTAGCTCTAGGGCAAAAGGAAGGAAGGAAACTTCAGACACTAAACATATTATAGCTGATCAAATGCGCCTGAGTCAAGGGGAAAACTGTGAATTACACTACACTACCATAAATTATTATTTTTTTTGTTTTAAATGAAGATCATAGGACTACACAAAACACAACATGAAACACAACATTGTTAACAAACCCACAAAGATCACTTTAAAGATCTTTCCTCATCGTAGGTTGTGACTGACAGCCTTTCTTCTCCAGACCATGTTCTTGTCACGCAGCCTCACGGACTACAGTCTTATCATCAGGTTGTATTTGCCAAAGGAATACGGCACTTGGAGTAATACACAAATTGTTTAAAGGACCTCACTTGAATATGAAATCATGAACAATCTCATCCCCATTCATGCAGCAAAGGGACCGGTGACACTCATCATGGTCTACCTGTATTTAGACTAGGGGGAGCCCTGGGGGGTACAGGCCTCATCTCGTTTGGATGTTATACTAAATAACTTAAGGTCAAGTAGATTAAGATAATCAACAAGGCCTTCTGAAACAAACGAAGGAGGGAAAAAAACAGAACCCACACACACTCTTGAAGAGCAATGGGGGTCCTGATTTTCTTGCTCATCATGTATTCAAATCCGCAGAACCCATTTCGTCCATTATCCCGCTTCTGTAGTGTTCGGCTCCAGCTTAAACTCCAGGGAGTGAGAGAATTATGGCCTCTTAAGGATTCGGTTGCCAAGGAGATGCATCATTAACGTGGCCAAAATGCAGTTAAATAACAGCGTGAACTGGAATTTTTTTGAGAAACGTAATTTTATAAAGAGAAATGTACAGAAAGGTTTGGTGTGCTGAGTCCTTTCTTGGTGGTATTAAGTGTCTGTCATGAGGGCTGCATGATATGGACAAAAAGTAAGTATTACAATCATATTGCTATATAAAAAACACTGATGAATCAATAATGTGACATTGGTAGACTGGCCTGCATCGTTTTGACCGTAACAATTTACTTTTGTTAGGTTACATGAATACACTATGTGGCCAAAAGTATGTGGACACCTGATCATCACATCTCTATGAGCTTGTTGAGCTAGTCTCCACTCCTCTGGGAAGGCTTTCCACAAGATTTTGGAGATTGCACCATTCAGGATTAGGGTTAGAGTTACACACCAAACTCTTCAGAACATACCTCTGTGGCCCTCACCTTGTGTGCAGTTGCACAGTCATACTGGAAAGGGCCTTCACATGGGCCATGAACCAAAACCACTGGCATTAATATGGAGTTGCTCCGCTCCCCCCCTTACGGCTGTAACAGCCTCCACTGTTCTAGGAAGGCTTTCCACAAGATTTCGGAGTGTGTCTGTGGGAATTTGTGCCCATTTCGTCAAAAGAGCATTTGTGTCACGATAGACAGTCCAGTTCATCTTAAAGATGTTCACTGGGGTTGAGGTCAGAGCTCTGTACAGGAGTACTAGGGTTCCTTAACATCTACACTTGTCAAACCATGTCTTTATGGACCTCGCTTTGTGCACAGGGGCACAGTCATGTTGGAACAGAAAAGGGCCTTCACCAAACTGTTGCCACAAAGTTGGAAGCATGTAATTTTCTAAAATGTCTTTGTGTGCTGTAGCATTAATGTACCTATAGCCCAAACCCTGAAAAACAGTCCCTATAACCCCTCTTTCACCATACTTTCATGGCACTGTGATAGTGTTCTCCTGCCATCCACCAAAGCCATATTCGTTCATCAGACTGCCAGAAATGAAGCATAATTCATCACTCCAGGAGCATGTCTCCACTGCTCCAGAGTCCAGTGATGGCATGTTTTACACCATTCCAGCCAACACTTGGCATTGCATACAGTGATCTCAGGCTTGTATGCTTCTGCTCAGCCATGGAAACCCATTTAATGAAGCTCCCGATGCACAGTTTTCGTGTTGATGTTGCTTCCAGAGGCGGTTTGGAAGTCTGTGGTGAGTGATGCAACAAAGAGTAGGTGGTTTTTACACGCTGCACTGTGTAGCACTTACAGTTGACCAGGGCAAATCTAGCAGGGCAGAAATTTCACAAACTGACAAAGGTGGCGAAGGTGCCACATTCAAAGTCACTGAGCTCTTCAGTGCGACCAGTTTTACTGCCAGTGTTTTTCTATGGCTGTGTGCTTGATTTTATATACATCTTAGCAGTGGGTGTGGCTGAAACACCTGAACTCAATAATTTACAGCGGTGTTCACATACTTTTGGCCAAAAAAGGTCAACTTGAAATTTTAAGTCAGCCTTCTGCAAACATTTTTTAACCTGATTTAGTCAAAAGTTCTCCTAACTTACATTTTTTAGTACAGCATTTAAGTTACGTCTACAAAATACACTTCAAGCTGAGCTTACGCAGACAAAAACATGAGTGTGGTTGCCCCCTTTTGTGCTGAGATAGCTTTTTCCCCTTAAGGTCCTCCCCCAATTTAGTCTTTGCCAATCCCCACCCACAGACTATTACTCCCCATATCACACAGTTGGAGGGGGGGCTTCCTCTTTTTAGAATTATGACCACAACTCATGATCTCTTTGTGGCTGATAATTAGACAGTTAGCCAGTCTTGTCACTTGAAGGCTGTGAAGTTACACAAAGAAACATTGAAAAGATTTCAAAATGTTTAATACCACATGTACACATTGTTTTAAAAATCTGATTTTAATCTCTGACTTTTAAATGATTATTTCAGGCTTTACAGGGCGACTTGCAGCAGCACACACACAAACCATATTTTAGCATAGATTTTATCAGACTCAGTAATTTTGCTTCTTTTAATTTTAACAAAAAAAAATCTTACATAGTGCAGCTTTACATTTTTTTACAGTGAACTTGAACACAAAACACCATCATCATTAAAATAACAAAAACATGTAAAGTGCATCCAAACCTCCCCTTTAGCACGTTATAGCATGAAAATAACAATGTGAGTAGAACTGATGAAAAAAAGTTAAAAATGTAATACTTTCCAGAAACCAACAAAAGCACCAAGACCTGGTTTATACCTGGTCACTTCATGCCTCTTTGAGTATCAGGATTATATCTGATGAGGCCAAGACACATGAAAATGCAAGTGTAAACACACCCAATACGCATTTAAACCAGATACAAATCAGATCACTCAAACCACTTCAGAAGGTAGTCTGAGACGCATTTGAGCCACGTTATAGCAGCGTAAACGCATCCGTCTCTCCACAAGACATTTGACAACCAAAACCCCTCCCAGTACAACCAAAACTCCTCCCTCACTGGGCACGTGATCTGTGTCTGTGAGGAAGATAATCACACTGGACGAAAGAAAATGCCACGTAACGAGCCGATTTGCATATTTTGTCCCACTCAGCAATCGTGTTTCAGTCCAACTAACCGGAGACGAATTTCACTACCAAGTATAAATGCATGTAGCTACAATCTTATCAGGATACAGTCCAGATACTAGTCACCTGAAGTGACCAGGTGTAAACTGGGTCTAAGAATACTCAGAGTAGCTATAATAAACTCCATTTCTAACATCGGAGTTTACTCTGCTATGACCAAACAGTTGACTTAAAGAAATAGTCTGGTGAAAAATCGAGTTTACACAGTTTTCCCCTTTCCCTGATAAAATTAATCAGCCAAGAGATATTTGGAATGCAAATTTTGCTTCTTTAGTTTTGAACCAGAGTGGTGACGCTAACGTTGCTAACAAAGACTAGAACTCAATAGTCGCCCATATAGCCCCAATCATTTCTATAAAAATACACCCCCAAAGCATCTTTCCACCTTCTCAAACTGCATCCAGGTCTTCATTAAGGTCACACAGACTTGTGGTTTAGGACACTGTATGACTTATTGTGAACTATAAAGATGAATTAAGCTTCACCATGTATCTGAACACTGCAGGCAGCTATTTTAACCCACCTAAGGAGTAGGAGTGCTGATCTAGAATCAGTGTTTGTGACAGTGTGTGTCATAAATACTGATCTGATCCAAGATCAGTCCTGCTTTGTGACGACTAGCCCTGGTGTTGTCTGAAATGGCTGTGAAGTTTTTATAGCTTACAGTTTCTAAACCACGTCAGCCATTCTGTGTGACCTTAATGAAGACCTGGAAGCGGTTTCAGTGGGTTAAGAGACATTTGGGTGATGTATTTTTACACAAAGTATTTGGGGTATTTGGGTGACTATTGGGGTTTAGTGTTTGTTAGCAGCGTTAGCCTCATAGTTCCAGTTCTAAAGTAAAAAAGCTTAATTTGGACACCAAACGTGTCTCGGCTGATTGGCTATATTTCGGATAAGTGGAAAATGAAATACATTTGATTTTTCACCAAACTATTCTTTTAATTCAGAATGATTAGTCGGCTGATGCATTTTGAATAAACTTGTTACGTATTGTTCACCAAACCATGATTAAACTCAATAAACTTATGTACTGTTGCTCTGATGTTTTTTTTTTTTTTTATGAACACAGTTGTTCAAACTTTAGTTGAATTTTTCCACAGTGTAGGTGCTGTTTAAGAAAAAGTAGACTTAAAGGTTGAATATTTGAATGTTATTGTCCATTATGTTACACTCTGATGTTCACTTAGATCACTGATCATTGCATTTCTTTGAACGGAATCACTTTCATCAGTTTACATTCAGAACTTTCCGTTAACACAAGCATTTGTTATGTGTTCTGATGTATTTTCATTTCCTTTTGTTTATTCATTCTTCTTCCTCCTGCATTACCACAACGAAGCCTAAATGGGTAAGCCAAAGTCAAAAAGAAAAGGGAAAAAACTGATTTCCAAAAATTAATCTGCAATCATGCATGTGTCAGGCACTAATCTTTAGGATTGTGATGTTAATTTGGTGAGCGTGTGCATGTGTCTGCGCGTGGCTGAGTCTCCTCTATGGCAAGGGCACTGCCACACTCCGGCTAGCCGGCTAAGTAGCGCTCTGCGGTGGCCGATTGCGTATTTGCATGAAATTCACCGGTGCCTCCGTGCACTTGTCGTGATTGCAGGACAGCCTCTCTCTTAATTGTCTGTGGATGTTTTAAATAATATGTCCGTCCTTGGAAATAGACACTAATTATTGGATCTTGTTTTTACATGCTGTTACTGTCTAAATTGCAAATGTCTAGGTTCATTTGGTCATTTGCAAGTCAAATGGACCCCACGGGCTTTTGGGGGGCAGATTGATGTAATCATTTAAGGCCGAATGCTAACGACAAAATGAATAAAACGTTTCATTATGGCTAAAATCTTCAATATTCCTGCCTCCCCTGCGCTTGTTTCGTCTCAATTTGAATTTGTGGATTTGAGGTTTTTGTCTTCTTTCAGGGGCACCGCGATACAAATATCTTCTCATTTGCTTCCATTCATGCTCCGTCGCATAGAAATCAAAAGGCTTGACTTTCAGAACTGACTTAGTCAAGTTCCGTGCGATGCGTGATTGGTTTGTAATGCCTGAATTTGGCCATTGTTTAGCCGTTCTGCGCAAGAGATGACCAGCAGAATCAATCAGCGAATACAAAAGACAGTCACTGAAAATTGTACTAAAAAAAATGCAAAAACTCATCAGCAGTCAGCGTGTTTTTGAGCTGCACTAGCATTAACAACCATGAACAGCTACCTTTGGGTTTTCTGAAGCCTTTTTGGCTTTTATCGTACGAAGACTCATATATTTTGTTTTTGCTGTTCAAAACCTTGTTTCTCCATCGCCATTTTTGCTTTTTTCATAATTTGAAAACTTCATAAACCCTTGGTAAAACAGATCAAAAGAAATGGGCTGAAGTTACTTAGATAAAAATCTTATTGCATTAACCCCTGCAAGTTAATTATGTTGTTTCCTTCTCCTGTAAAGTTACCATTTTGGAGGATTTTGTTCCAACAGCGACAGTGTAGTGATTAGAGATGGCATGATACCATATTTTCCTTTCTAGTACAGATACCACAACCTGGAGAGGCGGCCGATATCAGTCCAATATTTTTTCTTTAAAAGCTGTTCGGGTTGAAACAATTATTTAACATCATCAGTAACGTTCACAAGAAACAAATCAGCGACAGACATTTCCGTTGTCGATTTTCAAAGCAATATCCAGCCTAGAGGGAGTTAACGAGTCAACATGAAGAGGGTGACAGGTCACTCATTGTGTTGCACCGATGTGAGCAGATAGTAAAACAAAAAGAAAACGAACAGCTGTCTAGTGCTGATTTAGCTGGTCATCAAGCATCCAAAACACAACTGGTTTTGGTGGTGACCAGCATACCAGCATCCAAAACACTGCTGTTTTTTTTTTTGCTCCAAGTCATTGTGGACCATTTATTTTAAACCAATCATTATGAAATTTATACACAATGTAAAGAATAACAGGCAATTTTAAAATATGTCAAAAACTGAAAAATGGCAACAATTGAGATACGAGGTTTTGTTCCAACAAACAGTGATATGCTGGTTTTGCTGTTGACCAGCAATGCTGGTCTGTACTGGTATTTCTAGCAGCGGCCGTGCAAGCAGGCATCCGAATTTAGTATCACATCACATCACAAACCAGTAAGTAACACAACACCAACGGTATTCACCTCTAACTTCCAGCAGTCTGGCAGTTTCTCTCCAGATTGTTTCCTGGAAGGATCGTAGAGATTCCACCTGTGCTCCACTTTATGGATGAGTTTCTCCTCATCTGTTTTGGCAGCACAGAGAAAATAAAAACAGGCATTAAAAATGGCCCACACCAGTGTGTCGCATGGCACTGCATTACGATCCAGTTTAGCCAGCTTCACCATTTATAATGGGAGCGTTTTTGGTTTTGTCGTCATCCCTCGCTCACATCGCTTGTGTAATAATGCTGTGATGAGGGTAGATTCCTTATAGGACTTTTTCAGTTTGGATTAAACTTTTCACAAGGTAAAGCTTTTTAACTTCTCTGTTTTGATGTGCCCGAATTAAGGTTGTTTTTTCCCTCTTAGATAGATTGCATAGATTGTACAAGACTCAAACATTCATTAGTGAGCCAGTGGTGCGGCACTGAAACGGTTAAATCAGTTATAAAGATTACATTAAGTGAATTATGTACATTACTGTGCAAAGGTTTTAGGCATCTGGGAAGATTAGACTTAAAACATTTATTTGGGCAGTGAATTTATTTTCTCAAAAACACTAATATTAGAATAAACACAAATATTAAAACAATAACTAGTGGTTTTGCTTATGTCAGCGTGTTTGCTTAACCCTTTCCAAACCTCTCCTTGTGGCAGCCCAGTATTATTTGTAGATATCATCCAATACCAGGTTTGAATTATCAATCCGTTATAAACTAAATCGAGTGTGCCGAAGATAGAATTTAGCAAATATATGCGATGGCTGAGGGCAGACAGGAGAAATCTGGAACCTGTGTTCTTCTAAATATCTCACAGTTTGCTTAGGTGCCTAAGACATTTGCACCGTATTGTATATGTGGTGTGAAATGGCCATTATGGATCATTTATAAGTAGCCATAACAAGTGCCCCTCGATTCCTTTCCCCAGAATGATGCTTTTCCTTAAATAAATACTAATGTAATCTATTACATGTACGTGGACATGACGCTTTTTGGAAAACCCAGTTAAATTAGACACTAACTAATATGAACCAAATGCTAAAGATTTAATTTTCTCAGGATTGTATTCTCATGGCTTTTGTATATGTATGTCTGTCTGTCTGCCCTGCGATGGACTGGCGACCTGTCCAGGGTGTATCCTGCCTTCCGCCCAATGACAGCTGGGATAGGCTCCAGCACCCCACCGTGACCCAGAAGGATAAGCGGTTTAGATGATGGATGGATGGATGTATTCTCATGGCATGATGACTAACTCTAATTTTTAACATTAATGCATCTGTAGGTTTAATTTGGTGTGGGAAAATCCTTTGGTCACCCAGTGTCCATTACTCTTGAAAGCTACACTCTTAAAAATAAAGGTCCTTAAATGGTTCTTGGCTTAAATGCACAGTCTAAAATCTTTAAGGGGAATAAAACTAGGGCTGGGCAATATGACAAAAAATATAATATCATGATACTCCAAGAATGTATTATGATATACAATATGCATCATGATATTTAGCTTTTTTGAGATTTGAAATGTTGAAACAGACAAAAAAACAGTACTGCCACATACACATACTGCAGTGCACTCATTCGAATGAAACTTTTTGTAATGAAACATGAAGTTGGTCTGTGCCTTAAAAGTAGTGATGATAACCAAGATACGCTCAGAAAACCATACTGTGATGTAATTTATCACAATAACAGTAAACAGTGTCATATTGCCCAGCCGCATGACTCCAAACGTCAAAAAAGAGAGGTTCTTCTATGCCTCTGTCTCTCCAAAGGAACCCTTTTCTGGCACCTTTATAGTTATGAGTATGTGACAAACTTTTAATTGTGCAATCCTCATTTTCCAGATTGTTCTGTCTTGTTCTTGAGCTGTTGTGTTTGACCCTGAGCAGGCTCGTTTGGCCTATGTGGAAGCAGAGGGCCAAACGAAGATGCCATTTGAAGACAGGCTGCCGACCCGTCAGGAACAGCTCACTACACTCCAGAACACGCCGGAATTCGACGTCTTGGTGGTGGGAGGCGGAGCCACAGGAGCAGGATGTGCCTTAGATGCCGTCACACGCAGTAAGCACAACACTGGAGATCATATTTAGACTCGTAGGAATCAGATTTTAAACTTCTAATCTGTCAATTACCCAAAAGTATTGTACAACTGTGTTAGGTTTACTGCCTTCAGAGCGAAAGAAGTGTAGGGTTTATTGTAAATTCACACAGAACATTCAGTAGTTTTTATGGACAGCAGCGTTTACCTTCTATTAAACAAAACATAGAACATAGAAATAACCCCAGATTATAGCAGGTTTTCCAAGTGCATTGTCATGTCAGTAAATATTCCATGATATCCTGTGGAAATCGATTTTTTGTGTTTTTTCTTATGTATGAAGGCACTTTTTTGGTTTCTTTGTGGCCCAAATTTAGCTGATTTGTATTGCCCATCCTTAAATACAACCTTTAACATTAAAACATGTAAAAATGTTGACTTCATGCCGTGATGTTGACTGTTCTCATGACAAATTTCATTCATTTAAGACAACCTGGTATATTGTTAGGGACAACAAAATCAAATTAAAAGAATAGTTTGGTGAAAAAATCAAGTTTTCACATTTTTCCACTTACCCCAGATGTTGTCAACCAGCCAAGAAAAGTTTAAGTGTCTAAATCTTGGTTCTTTTTTTTTAAACTGGAGCTACAAGGCTAACACTAAACGTTAAAAAGTCAATAGTCTCCCAAATCTTTTCTGTGAATATGTGCCCAAAACGTCTCTTAACTTGCTCAAATCGCATCCAGCTCTTCATTAAGGTCTCACAGACTTGTTAATGTGGTTGAGAGGACATTATGACTTTCTGTGAAGTAAAAGAATTAATAAACTTCGCGGTGTGGCTGAACAGCTGGGCAGCTACTTTAAGCAGTTAATGCTGACATAATCTTGTCATGCATGTATGTGGATGCTACAGATTACGTTTGCACTTTCTGTTTCTTTGTAGAAATAACCGTTAAACTTCAGTTTTTAAACTGATTATATACATTTAAATATACAAACAAGAGACGTTGCGGATTTAATCACAGTTCCATATGCCTCGCATACGCTTGCATGCAAAGAGGGAATTTGGCACAACACCTGTTGTGGAAAACTGCTGCCCCCAGCATTCAGTGAAGACCTGGATGAGGTTGCAGTGGGTTGGGAAAAGTTTTGTGGATGTATTTATGGAAAAGATTTGTCTATTGACTTCTAGTGTTAGCGACGTTATACTCGTAGCTCCAGTTCTGAACTAAAGAAGAAAAATTTAGACACAAACATGTTTTCTCTTTGTCAGCAGCTGAATGTATTGCTTATGGAACATATTTGGTGTGAAGGCAATGCGTAAATCGAGTAGCCACTCTCAAAATTCTTATACCATGCAAATCAGTCATAAACATTACAGATGTAAAACTCCCGTCGTTGTGGTACTTTAGATTTGTGTCTTGCGTGACTTAATGAATAAATAATAAAGTTTGAAAATTGTAAAGTTAGAATCATCATTTTCCAGCTTCTTCCTTTTATTGTGATATTAAAGTAATTGCTTCAAAGTTTTCCTGAAAGCCGTTTGGTTAATCTCTCTTCCTTGCTTTTCAGATGGTCTTGAGTTAAAATGTCCTTCTGTTGTCACTCTCCTTTCCTCAGAAAGCAATATAGGGCCAAACCTGCCCAAATGCAATATGCATGCTCTGATCTTTCCAACCTCATGCATATTACAGATAGTAGGGAAATCCGTATGAAAATGACACCAAACGCAGTCTAAATATTTGGGGCCGCGAGGGCTCGAAATGCCAGTGCCGTGCTTAATCTGCTTCCTGCCGGCTCTGCTTCCTCCCCCTCCTCTTCCTCTGTCAGATCTGAAGACGGCCATGGTGGAAAGGAGCGATTTCTCATCGGGAACCAGCAGCAGGAGCACCAAGCTCATTCACGGAGGAGTGCGCTATCTGCAGAAGGCCATCATGAAGCTAGATTACGAACAGGTGAAGGTTCCCCATTTTTACCCATTTACCCACATGTTAAGAAAGAGGGATGGCAGGGCGAGGTGGCCACGGTCCACGACTTTGACATTTTACACATATACTGGGGAAGAGTCAGAGAAACAGAGCAGGTTGGCAGGATACAGAGAAAACAAATGTTCTCAAAGACACATTTGGACTAAAATTTTCATAGATAAGCAGAGCGGCAGACTTTCCAAACCCTAAATTAGAAACTGATAAAATGAGGTTCTCCATTTACTGCCTTTTTTGCTTATGATTATGAAACACTTTCAGGTTACATTGTCATAGAAGTACACTATACAAATAAAGTTTTTATTACATATTAATAAATGCACAAAATTTGATGAAATGGTCATGAATTAAAGGGGCATCATGTCTCTGATTTGTTGTGATGCCAAAAACTAGTATGCAAATTGATCTGTCCATGTTCTAAGCTGCTGTTGGTATGTTGGACAAACTGTACAAAAACATTGGCAAAAATCTCATTCAACATAATGAGAAATGGCATCATTCGTTCATCAATGGTAGTTATATAGCTACAGACACATGCTTCCAACATTATATTCCCACAGCCCCTTCATTTATCTTTAAGCTATTGCGCTGATATGTGTGGCAGACTGCAGACTTCACATGGTGAAATTTGGACTTTTGAAAGTTTAAATGTTTAAAAAATGAACTCAAATATTGAATTTAAGAATTTAAGATAACTCAATCAGAGACCAAATTATGACATTTAAAGTCCACTACCTCTAAAAATCCACAACTGAGAAAATCATATTTATGCAGCCATACAAACACTGGTGTGCTGACTGTGGTGCTGGCCAAAATGGAAGATTATCAGAGGAGAGCTTTATCAGTGTATATTGTTTATTTAAGGTGGAAAAAGACAGGAGGGCATTCTGTACTTTTTTTTTTTACTGTATAATACTGGGTTAATTTGGAATTTAACAATGAGATGTTTGGCATCCATAACTCCCCCAAAAAATCAACATCCATTTTATTCCTCCTCTGTGGTAAAAGTTGGGAATCCTGAACTTCTGATGGAATGTCCCATAAGCAGTTTGATACCGCTGTGGTCTGTGGAATGTTGCCGCCTGTGGTGGTGGAATTTTTGGTTACAGCTCCTTTGAAAACAATGGAATATCCGGTTTGCCACCTGGTGTCTTCCGCAAACACGTGAACGCAGCAGTAAAGGCTTTGCTGCATTGCATCTAGGTTCTGTTTAATAAGCATGACGCAGCATTGTGTGAGAATGGGTGAGAATGTAAAACAGCATTATGTGAGAATGGGTATTTTTTGCTCCTGGGGTCCCCCTACAGTTGCAGAGCGTGTTTCACTTTTACACCACTGTCATAAACAAAAATCACGCTTTGAGCACCCCTCGTGGACTACTGTACATGAGCATTTGTTGACAAGTTGAAGGACACAGAATCCAACTCCCCTTTGCTCGCACATCGCACAGGCATATGGATGCTACAGATTACACTTTACGAATTCAGTTGTTTTTATGTGTAAGCAACTGAAATCTGTAAACTGTAGTGTCCATATACCTGCATGATGCTTGGCATTCAAAGGGGAGTCGGATTCTTCTGAGTTGGAATTTAGCCATGTAGATTAATATTACAGGATTTTATTGCAGAATGTTGCAAAATTTCAAGGCTTATTTGGTGCGAGGTTGGCAAAGACTGACCAAACTTTTTGGTGCGAATTGAATTTATTCCTTTTGCGTGCTAGCCTGAAACAGTACTGAGGTTATTTGCCTTTTGGCATCTAGAAAAACCACAAAACTCTGTGAGACAGGGATGACACAGGTAAGATTAAAGGCTACGTCACAGGCTTTTATAAATACCATTGGCAGGGATGCACACGTTTCGTTGTTGTCCCGTTAGCTTTGAGACTCTGAGAACTTCCGTCCTCTTCGGTCTCTTCGCCTTTACTGGGAATACCAAATAAACGTCTATGACCTCCAACAGGTTTCTGCAGACCACTGCATGTTTTGGTCGAGGACACAACCACATGAAACAACACAACTTTAAAAAACCAACTTCTCGTCTCTGCAGCCGTCCTTGATAGAGTGCTTACTAAATAGTGTCAGCTTGATCCAACATGGCAAGCTACACTCTTTGCGCATGCATGATAATAACACATTCTAAATGTACAGTGGGGTCCAAACGTCTGAGACCACTACTGAAAATGCTGTTATTTTGTATTCCTTTTTAACGTAATAAGAAGTCTAAAAGTAGAATCATTGAAATTTGAACATGAATTTCAGAATTTTTAAATATTTGTCCCCCCTTTGCTTTAATAACAGCATTAACTTGAGCTGAAATGGATTGAACAAGTTTGTGCAAAAGCATCTGATGAGTAGATCAAATCCAGCCTTGTTGGATCATGAACTTTATTTTTATCAAATATTTATCAAAATTCTAAAACTTTGTGTTGTTTATTTCCGGGTTTAAAAGAAAGAAAACTCTGATTTTCAATGTGGTCTCAGACTTTTGGACTCCACTGTAGGTGTTTTGGCAAAACTAAATTGTGTGCTGCGGTTTCTCATAGGTCTTAAAATATTGCCACATTTGGTCAAGCTTGTCCAACCTAGTAGTGGATTTGTGGGCGGAGCAGGGACAGGTCAACTGCAGTGAGGCCTGTAGTGCTCCTTTATGTTAGAGCAGCTATACAGTCATCTTGTGTTGAGTAGTGTATTTGTTTTGTGTTCTGCAGTACATGATGGTAAAGGAGGCCCTCCATGAACGTGCTAACCTGCTGGAAATCGCTCCTCACCTGTCTGCTCCACTACCCATCATGCTTCCCGTTTACAAGTAAGTATGAGGGCCACTGCTCACAGTTCACTCACCATCGCGGTGCTGCCAGCCTGGCATCCACTTTAAGTGGAACTCCTCTGATTTCTCACTATTTCTGCATAAATAAATGGTTAACATGTAAACAAAGTCACTGAGTGGTTTGGGGTGAAATGCTCCATTCTAGAGAAACTCAGGTCAGAATTGTTTACAGTGGTAGTGATAGTAACCAAACGTCTGAAGAGCTTAATGGCTTTTAAAGCTACCAGACAGAAAGTTATTACATGAAATGATTATGAATATGTTGCCTAATGCCTGAGAGATTGTTTCACAATAGCGTTGAGATACAATTTGGCTTGATTTTTTTAATCATGCAGAGAGTTATAAGGAAAAATTTATCACAAAGAAAAGTTTTATTTTTCAGATTTGCCACTAGTTTACCATTAATAACATCACAAATGAAAAACATCAATCAGTCAGTCAGTCAGTCAGTCAATCAGTGAGTCAATCAACCTTAAACTCGGTGTACATTAAGGGAAACCCTCGTTTGCAATGTAGCCGAGCCAATACAGAAAACAGGGATTGAAAAAACTGGATTGTAAAAACATATCAATGCTAAAAAAGTAATACTAATCATAATAGATAATAAATTTAATTGTAGAAAAACAATAAACTATTACAATTGCAACATTATAATAATAAATAACAGATCAAATAAGAAATCTGAGTCAGCAAGTTTCTCTACAATCAACCATTTCACATCAAACTACTCTAAATGACTTAAATATCAGCAATTTAATTATGCAAAATCTTAAAAAAACAGTGGAATTCTCCTTTAATTTATCATAAAGCTGAAGGAAGTGTTGTAAGATTTGTAAACAACCTGCAGCACTGTTTGCATTGTTTCTGATATTATTGGTTGTAATCATTGCTGTCCTCACACTGGCTCATGATTGGATAAGGAAGATTCTGCGAAGATGTATACCAAGTTGGTTTTTGAGAAAGAACAATGGAGAATGTTATGAAATCGTAATGTAAGTAATGGGTGACACAGATAACAGTACAGTGTTCCTTTTTTGATATGAACTGATAAGTTCACTGAAATGGCACATGGGCCCTTCGAGTGCTCAGAGCGGTGGGGTCATGCTGGTGTGTGGACCCCCTCACCATCTCAGCCTTTACCCCTGAGCTCCGGAACTTCAGCAGGTCTTGGAGAGGAGTTCCCCCTCCCTGCCATCACCCTCTCTAATTACTCCTGGCATTTAGGCTTCGCTATGATATTTAAAACAGTGTGAGCGATGTCGAGGGGTCGCAGAACACACAGACTTCAAGATCACATCACTGTTCTGTCACACGTCCAAAATTCTGTAACAGAGTTCGCAGAAGGGTCCAGTGTTGAATAAGAAGTTGGGTTTTTTATTGTAATGAATATTCATTTTAATGACCGCCCCCTCAGCCGAACTGGTTAAGACTTGATAATAGTTTCTAAAATGCTTCAGATGTTGAAAAATCGATTGCCAACAAATATCAATCACTTCTCAACCTAAACCTTCCCTAAACCCCTTACAAGGCCAGGCCCAACTCGAACCCAGTGACAGCTAAAGCAAGTTGAATGTACATGTAGTTGATTATGTGACTATGTAATTAATTATGTAAATACTTGTGGTGAACTGAAATGAAAATTCCCAGCCCAAAGCAAAATTAAAGACACCCAGACCAAAAACCAAACTGGAAGAAAGTAGGGGCTTTTTTCTTTTTGTAATTTGCTGTTTTATTTATGTGAATGAATCAACCAACTAAACACATACTAATAAAACTACAAGGTAATAAAGAAAATACACTTCTATTATTGATACATTCTGCTTTAAATAGCGCAAAACTGAGCTTGAAATAAATAAAAACGGTGTGTGCAACCAAATCCAACATCCTTGACAGCTTGTTTGTCTGCTGCTGCTCAAACTGTTTGAACACATCTGTGTGGCATGTTTATTACAGTTAACTAAATCTGAACTACAGTAACAGAAACTACAGTAAAATGAAAACTATTACTAGAACAAGAACTAGCAGTGAACTGTAATGAAAATAAAAACAACACTTTTCTAGAACTAAATCAAAACTGTAATGTCCACTGCAAAACTAGCTAAACGAAATGGAATGACTGAGAAAAAACTCTAGTTTTCGTGTTTCGTATTTAGTTTTCATTTAGTAAGTGAATGAAAGTTTGGAAACAGATGGCGTTTCTGTTTGGACATCTTTAAGGAAAGCTGGAGCCGAGCCGAGCCGAGCTCCGTCTACTGCTGTTGTAATTTCATTCTACCTTTTTCAAATAGCTGCTGTCACAGCAGTCATCATAATACTAAAAAATAAAAATAAAACTGAAACAAAATAAAAATGAAACTAAACTAAAACCGTAATGCACCTTTAAAACCGGCTGAAAATTAACCTGAAATCACAAATCAAAATGAAAAACTACTGAAAAAAATTCAAAACTGTTATAATCCTGCTGTGTGGCTGACCGGCACAGGAGAGCGAAGTAAAAACAGTTTTAGACATTGACACTTGATTGTAGTCCTGTTTAATCTTTTTTTCCAGTCAAAATTTCCAGACTTTTTTAACTTTTGGCTGAAAAAAGTGTCACTTCTGGTCATTTTTGACCACAATGTTCTGGTAGCGAAAATGTTTAAAAATTAATATTAAATTTTTAGTTACATTTAAATATTTACTTAATTCTAATATTTACAACAATAACTCTAGACTTTTAAGGGTAAATATAAAGCACTGTAGCTTCTTTCTACAAGGCCCCATGTAGCTTCACTTTACCTTGTTAAGCCTTAGGAATTAAGGAGGAGGTTATAGTTACACACTGTATCGTGTTATTTGTGACAGAGGCTGATGTGGTGTTTTGTTTGTGATCAGGTGGTGGCAGCTGCCATATTACTGGGCTGGGATAAAGATGTATGATCTGGTGGCTGGATCTCACTGCCTGAAGAGCAGCTACGTCCTCAGCAAGAGCAAAGCCCTGGAGCTCTTCCCCATGCTGAAGAAGGACAAGCTGGTTGGAGCCATTGTCTACTATGATGGTGAGACAGGAGCATCACTTACAGTCTGTATCTATGCACATGTACAGTGATTTGCAAAGGCTTAAGTGCCCCTGGTCAAATGACATGTTTTGTTGATAATCTATATGTAAATAAGTAACACATCTTCTACTGAGAACACACTTCGGCACATTTTAAGACAGAATTACTGTTTTTTTTTCCCTGAATTTAACACTGGGAAAAATTTGAAATATAAATATAAATTAAACCTTTTATGTTTGTTTTTTTCCCCTAACATGTTAAAGGTAAAAAATAAAAAGTAAAATGTGGCCCAGTTTATTTTTTATATTTTATTTTTTCCAATATTTAAAACAACAGCAAAAAAAAGAAATTGTGCACTAAAATTGGCTAAAAAAAAGGCCATATTTACATTTTGTTCCTGTCAAAAAAATGTCTCCATTTTTGTTGTTTTTTTATTTTTCTAGAACAATTGAACATGTCTTTTATGTTATCTGAACATGTAATGATTAGTGGACCAATACAATTAGTGGATCTTTACATTTTTTGCCTGAAACACTGTGAACGCTTTGCCTTCGCTTACCTGTTACTGTTATAGATATTTGTTTATCTTTGCACATCAATTATTTTCACTTAGGAAATCAACAAAACGTAACTGCTATCGTTTCAAAACCTCTATTATATTACATATATACACTTTTTACTAATTATTAATTTGAAAATGCCAGCAGCATATGATGAATAGGTAAATAGAGAGGGCCCAAAATTACTGGAATAGAATCTTGTTACATTAAAATGAAGAGCATTTTTTCTGACTGTTCTCCTCTCATTAAGCAGTAGAGGAACATGTCATAGAGAATTGTTGATAAACATAGGCATTTAAAGATTAAAGTGATAGTTTCACAGATGTATTTCCCTTTTACCCTAAATGTAGGTGATCAGCCAAAACGTGCTTCTTTAAGGCTTGCACTGGAGTTATGAGGCTAATTAATGAGAGTAAAGGGTGGCTTTCATACCACCAGTTAGCGTTGTGCAAACTACTTACCTATATCGTCACACTTACCTTAAACCACTTTGGATAATGTCAATTAGACTCGCTAATGTTTCTTACATTTTATAACATACTACAAAAGTACGTTACATAGTTAAAAACAGTAGTAGGAGTCAGAATGTTGTCAGAAACCACATAAGCACGTCTGTTTGGGATTACTTAATAACTTGACGTGATTTTAGGAAAATGTATATTGATGTAGGCATACAGTTTGCACTGTGAGGCATTAGCTTCTATTACCTGTTAACTACATTAGCTTTGTAGTTCCAGTGCAAACCAAAGAAGCAAAAGTCTAACATCAGTCATATCTTGACTGACTCCATCTGAGATAAGGGAAAAATGAGATTTTTTGCCAAACTATCACTTTATTTTGCCACTTGTCATGACCGCATTTGTAGTTGACAACAATGAGAGCAGCCTTGTTTAATGTCAGTTGGGGAAAAGGCCATTGGCCGTTTGGCTGCCACTAGGCAAAGCCTCCATATGCTACTGGTTAGTCGGCGTGTCTAGTGCCTGTCCCCTTTATTCAAGGTCTCCTCCACGGCAGCTAAAAACCACTCCTCCCCCGGTTCCTGCCTGCAAGGACTTTCTGTCAGGCCGCATTTGGCCTGCGCTGCTACATGCGCCTCTTCCGCGAGTGTAAGGCCAGCATATTTGCGGAGGGAATACGGCGGCTATCTGAGCAGCGATCTGTCAGATTGAGTCTCTCCGTGGGGGACAGTAAGCCAAGGAGATGCCCGCATGCTCTCGCAGCGGTTTGTCAACACCAGCCACTTTATGGAGGCGGTTTTTTCGTAGTCATCTTTAAGTCTTAGAAGTCTTTGTGATACCTGTGTGTTTACATAAATACTTCTGTAATTAATTACATTTTCATTTGAATTATATTTTGCATGAATAGGCTGTTGTATTTTGATATAAGTTCAACTTATTTTGTTATTTCTTTAGCATATGATTGACATTCTGTATTGACAGGTTCGGAACTGTACTTTTGACTTTTTCCTTTTGTTTTGTCAAAAAATGACAAACACCTTTGCTGTAACCTTAAACCGTTGTGCTGCTGGGGAGCCCAATATGGCACTGTCATAACTATATGACAGTAATACAGGCTGAACTGGTGAATCTGAACACAAAAACATTTAAAGTTTGTCCAGACATAATTTTTATCATAGCATCACTGTTTTTTTAACTTTTTTTTAGGTGAAATTAATGTAATAAGATTTTTTTCAAAGTAATTTTAGTCCATTTCTATTGGTCCTCTTATCATGAAATTTTAACACAAGGCAAAGGGCAACTTTTTAAACTCATGCAAAAGAATGAAAAATGAGAAAAATGGAGATACGAGGTTTTTGTGTGACACTGACAATAAGAACGATAACATTATTATTACTACACATTATTACACAAAGCTTTTAATGTAAAGAGAAGAGATGTAACATAAGAAAATAAATGTTTAAAAATAATTAAAATAAGAAGTTAAAAAAAAAAACAAATTCACAAGATGCTTTGTGAGCTTCTGCTGTTTATATAGTGAAAGAAATGTGATCTTTGAAAACTACTGATCATATTTCACAGTTAACCGTGACAACAGTGTCAGTCATATTTAACTAAAACCGTTGGAGTGTAAAATTGAAATCTAAAATCTAAATATAAAATGATTTAACATCAGTTAGTGAATTTTAAAATCAGTATCCGTATCAGCCGCAAATCAGTCAGACCTTGATAGACAGTCATAAGCAAAAGTTCAAACAGTAATAAGCAAACAGCAGTAAGATTGCATGTATCGTTGATTTTCTAAGTGAAAATAAGGGAACACATCCTCTACAGAAATGTGTAACATTTATTGCACAAGAGTTTAACATGTTGGGAAAAAATAAAATATAAAATGCGCCATAACAAAAAAAGAAATTTGACCAGAGGAGTAAAAACTTTTGCATATGACTGCATATTCTATTTACATCGTGCACTGGCTCACTGGTTCACGTCTGCACTTTGTCTTTGTTGTGATGCCAAATAATGATGAAAATATATCAAAAAATGTAAAAATGCTTTTCTTTATGTAAAACAACACTGTAAAAATAGCATACACGCAATGTAAAACTTCAATTAAGATGCCTTTTATGTTTCTAAAAATTACAGTATAGCTGCTGTAAATTTAAACGCTTTGACCATCATTTTACTGCTCAGTCCCGTATTGATGAAAAAAGTAAGCCAATACTGTTGTACTGTTGACAACATGGCTGGATTTGAACAAGAATTTGGCAATAACGTATTGTAAACACGGCAAACAAGAAAGGTTCGCAATTACATATGATGTACTGTATAATTTTGTGGCACTTAACACGTACATAATATAACAGTTGAATGGCTGTAAATTTACAGTTAAGGACAATTTTATAAAATTCTAGTTTTTTTCTATTTCTCTTTCTGTCGATGCGCAGACGTTCAGCATCAGGAGACTGTGACTGTGAATCCCACCAATCCCAGCCTTGGCCTGTAGACCAACAGAGCATATGTTAGCACCATTGTGAGATCTAAACAGTCCTAACTAGTATGTGAGAATTGACTAAACTGAGAGAAATAATTAGGAGAATAATTAAAATTTGGGACTTGTTTTTACTGTCATTTAACACTGTTCTGTTGGCAACTTTGCTCATTTTCAGTGTTTAACATGCTGCGCTGCCAGACTTTAGACCTTTTTTTACAGAACAGTAACTTCTTCAAATTCAAATAATGATAAAAGATCTTCTACTTACAAACACAAGTGTAGTATTGATTGAAAGTTTAGAACTTTCAACAGAATTTGAGACAAAGTGAGACATAATTCAGCCAAATGTGAGTCGTAGGCTTCACGCCGGAGGATCTCAGAGGTTTAGGCTACTGTAGCTGTTGATGAGGAACACCTGGGTTTGTGTGTGTGTGAAAAGGAGGAGTGTAATGACAGTTTAGAGATGCGTTTTATTCGTTTGTCTCCCCACAATCGCTGTTTCCGCCCCAACCACCCCCCCCCAACCCTCCCACCCCATCCCTCCTTCCTCTGGGTTGTCAGCCGGCTTTTCTCTCCAATTATTCAATCTGGAACAATCACGGCCGTGACATTTCCAAACCTGACCTTCTCCGCTGGAGATCGCGCTCTGCCTGCCGCTATTTGCCTCCCTCTATTTCTCCCTTACCCCCTCTCTCTCTCCCTCTCTTTCTCTCTCTCAATCTTCCTCTCTCTCTTTCATTCCTCATTTCTCTTCTTCTTCTCCATCCTCTCTCTCTCTCTCTCTTACTATCCCTCATCCTTTTCCGCTCCTGCTCTTTCTTAATATCTCTCTTCCTTCTCCCTCTCTCTCTCTCTCTCTCTCTCTCTAAAAACCTCAGTTCTCTATGCAGTCGCCTGACAGACCTTTGCTAATCTGCTGTATGTCATTCTTCTCAAGATAATGGCTTTTATTTTTGTCTTAATTTATTTAGTTTAATCTTATTCGATGAACTCCTTTATCTTCGCACACTTGTTTCTGTTGTGATGTAAATCAGGGATGAATTTGCATTCGTTTCCATTGTCCCTTTTTTTTTCTCTGGAGCACTGAAACGTAAAGACTTCAGTCTCTCACTGTAAGCGCTGGCTATATTCAGATTCATATAGCGCTTATGCATTTTTCTGCAGGGCACAAGAGTCTAGGATCTTCAGGTGCATTCACCATGGATAGTGTTGAAGAAGTGTGTATATATATATATATATGTGTATGTATATATATATATATATATATATATATATACATATATATCACTGTTGTCGGAAGAAAACCTCATATCTCCAAAATGATAACTTTATGGGAGAAGAAAAAAACCTACTTTCCTTTTATTTTTATGTAAGTCAAAGGAAACAGAATGTTTTCCAAGTCATTTTGGGCCGTTTGGTCCGTTAATCAAATGACACACAATGTAAATGACAATAGACATTTTCAAATGATGTCAAAAACTGAAAAACAACAAAAATAGAGATACAACGTTTTCTTTTGACAGCAGCGATATATTTTAATACATACACACACACATATGCATATATATATATGATACATGTATATGTATATGTGTACGTGTATATATAGACTATAACCGAATAAAATCAAATATAAATGTATTTCATTATGTAACTAACTACTAATTTTATAATTATATTGGAATAGTTTAGCAAAACCAAAGTAATAGCTCAGTAATCGACTTTGTAGAGTTAAAAAAGTGCAACTTAGACTAACACCTCAGTTCACACACCTTCTTTCCATCATATAGCTGTTAGGAGCACACGTTCATGGGAGCAAAGGTTCATGGGATCTCTAACAGAGCGCGCTGGTCTCTTCGCTGCTCGTAATTCATTCGAAAATTTGCCCTTTAAAGGGGCTCCTCGGCTGTGTTATTACTTTATTGTCTGCTGGAGTTGCCCTGAGCATGTGTTAGCATTAGACATGCTTCTGTGAGTAGCCGAGCCCCGCGGTAACACGTTCGCACACAGCACAGACCGCGCTCTCCTGCACACTCGAAGAACTTTCTAGAACTGATGAGCGTGGCAGGGAGAAAGCTTTACAACATGTGTATTTATTTCTTATTCATATTGATTGGTTTTGTCTGCACTTTGTTCAAAATGTTTAACACCTTTTATGTTGTATTACTTCAGTCGCTGTCTTTTCTGCGGTTCATCGGATCTTGATAGACTTGACAAACAGCTGAGGTCAATCAAGTGTTCAGTGTAGTTAGGTAAACTTGGAAGGAGGGAACTCGGTAGCATGGGACTCAGTGGGGATCCCTCAGTGGCTTCTAGGCCTGTAGAGAAAGCTTAATAATTTCTATAAATAGAACAAAATATGTGTCTGAAATTTTTAGGGATTTTTAATCGGAATCATGTAGTTGTATTTAAGCTCTAAGAGTATTATAGTAGTAGTCTTATTTCATTATCTTTGGGCTGGAAACAAAAGATGTTGAAACCTAGCAGCACATTATCCAATCAGGATTTTTTTCTCTTGTGATGTCTAGATAGATACAGTTGTATGCGAACGTTTGTATAGTACCAGACAAGTGTAAGTGAAAATAAGTTAAAGCTGCAGTGTGTAAGATTAAATCGGATCTATTAGCAGAATAGTATATTATACAACACTATGTTTTTATTAGTGTATAATAACCTGTAACTATGAATCATTGGCTATGTTTACATTACAAGCCTCGTTGCTCAAATCTGATTTTTTGCTCAAATCCGATCTCTCTGACACGATGGGTCACGCTTGTTTAAGTAAGTGGCTCAAATCTGTTATTAATGTGAACGAACCGGCGTCCTGAAATGACTCTCATGAGCACATCCTGAATCACATGCATCATCAGCACAAACTAACGAGCAGAACGAGCTTCGCTAAGAAGGTAATTAACTCTGATCAGCTCTCAGCTTCATTACTAGAGCGAGACGAATGAGAAAAAGGTGAGATGTGTTGCTTTTCCACCGTTTACAGTTTGAGTCTATACTTTTGACTTTTTACTGTTCGTTCTGATGTTAAATAATAACAAAAACATGGAAAAAAATTAAAGAAAGTAACTACTCCTCTAGTTACAAACACAAATGTGGCATTTATTAAAAGTGTAGAATCAACACTTTTAAGACAATGTCTTGTTTTGATGGGCTATGAGTGAGAAAAAGTCAGATTATGTCACGCTTTTGTTAACAGCAGCAGTCACAGCGACTTATAATGGCTCAGCTTTAATTGATTTATTACCATAAATTCTCTGAAGTTATTAATTGAAACGTGGAAACACCAAGTTTAAGCATGTTAGATGTGCCTGATGCACCATACTATGTATTCCTGCAGGTCAGCACAATGATTCCCGGATGAATCTGGCCATTGCTCTGGCCGCGGCCCGCTACGGTGCTGCCATAGCCAACTACACCGAGGTGGTCCGGCTGCTGAAGAAGACCGACTCAGCCACAGGAAAGGAGCAAGTGTGTGGTGCCCGGTGCCGAGATGTCATCACAGGTGAAACACACACACACACACATACGCTAACGCTGGAGCACATACACTTCCCGTCAAAAGTTTTGGCTCACCATGGCTTTACAATATATGTTTAATTGAAATGAGTTGTCCTGTTTATTTTAAAAAAAAAACAGTATCACACTTGTAAACATCGGTGACTGCATTTATGCTAAAGACCACACATGCAACTCTTATCAGCATTTAAATATTATAGAATTTCAATCACATTTGCACCAGAAGAATTTCAAAAAATGCTTCTAACAGTAGTTTGAGAAAGAAAACTGTTAAATGATTATTTAGGCAAAACCTGCTCTTCATATGAAGGAAGGCGAACATGAAGCAGAATATGCAGAATGTGGTATATACAAAAAATATGCATGTTAATTTTTTTATCTCATCTCTGAAGCGTTTAGAGTTTTTATTTTTGTCCTAGGGATGCGCGATGACATCAGAATCATATCAGTATCGGCAGATTTTTGCTTTAAAAAACTGCATTGGACAGATGTTTTCATTTGATTGATATTTCAAACTGATATTTGATGAATTCTTTATTATACTTCAGAAGAGCAGAATGTTTAGGTGACGCTGGGCTGTATTTTATTCACTTTACTGCATTTGTAGCAATATAGAAATAAATGTTATATTTTTCTGTAATGCTAACCTGAATTTAATCCCAGTTTCTACATTTTATAAATATTTATATATTAGCGTTGGTTATCGCCTTGGACATTATGTCAGTAAACAGCAGCCTAATGTTATTAAAAGGCAGATATAGACACTTTCAGCCTCAAGTAAAAAATAAGTGCACATCCTCCAGAGAGCACAACTTAATATGTCATTTTTCTGCAAATTTTAGTGCATAAATTCTATTTGTTTCAGTGCATGTTAGTGCTGATTGTATGTTAATTAAAGGGGAAGCATTAAAGGGGAATCCCACCAATTTTTCAAAATTTGTGCATGAATAACTTATATGAGATAACAAAAACAAACAGAACCAAAAATTGAAGTCATTCAGAATGGTTTGATGTGAAGTGCTCTGATCCAGAGATACTTACCAACTCAGAATATCTGCAGAATTTGCTTATAAAAGCTCACTGACTGAAAATTATTACATGAAGTGGTTATGAATGCCGGAGATGCCTGAGACATTGTTTCACGTCCATTAAGGGTGGAGGGGGTGCATGCAGGGCATTATGACACCAAATAGCCCTCAAAGAAAACGTACCACCTAGTGATTTACCGCTATTTTACCATCATCATTATTACATGTAAAAACATAATATGTGGGTTTACTGGTGAACCATTTCACATCAAACCACTCTGAACGACGTTGTTTACATCTCAACCACTGAATTATGCAAAGATGTTGAAAAATCTGTAGAATTGTCCTTCAAAGGGTAAACTGAAAAGTCAAATTCCAGATTTCCACAAAGATGTCGCCAAACTTTTGATGTTCGGTGTATGAAGTACAGTCTCACTCACATCGACACATTAATACAATATGTTCTTTCTCTTGCTGTCTCCTTCTCTAACTCTCTCTCTTTTTTAGCATATCAATGTCAGTCTCTCTTCTCACCGTACTCTTCTTCTTTTCCTCCTTCGCATGCTATTCATTACACTCTGAGACTGGTTTTAAGACACATGATTTCAGGTCACTAACAGCTCACAGTACAGACTCCCTGGGGTGTCCACTCTGCAGTGAGTTCTTTCTCATGGTGCTCTTGCAGGCCAGGAGTTTGACGTCCGTGCCAAATGTGTCATCAACGCCACGGGGCCGTTCACCGACTCACTGCGCAAAATGGACAACCAGAAAACTGCCAACATCTGCCAGCCCAGTGCAGGAGTCCACATCGTCATCCCTGGATACTACAGGTCAGGTCAATCCCTACAGTCCCCTACACCTTCATCTATCCACCTTGAAATACAGTGAAATGGAGAAATACAGTCTGCTATTTGGCCATGATCCCTTGAACCCTTGGACTTATTAACCACTTAATATTAAGACTTAGTATTCAGTACCTACTACTATGAACTACTTCTACCAGCTACTATAAAACTAAGTTGTAAGTTTTGTAGTTTTCAGAGTGAGAAATTGAAGTGTCGGCACATTCAAGCCAACAAGGTTTTAGGGGTGAAAAGGATACATTACTGTGAAATAGAGAACTGACTTAAATCCAGCAACAAATCGAACATTAACATCTGTTACAGGTCATCGAAATGAAGTCTGATTCTCTGGCAAAATATTAAACCTTACTTCAGAAACACTGCCACATTCTGCCATACATTGCTGTGTTAAAACCAGGGATCCGTTTCAAATGTTTCAGAATGTAACTTATCTAGTTACTTAGTCTTAGTACTAGGCATGAGTTGATATAAATTACTAAGCTGAGTTTATTTATAGTACTAGGCCCCAGTTTATTCAAATATGAAAGCCCTAGTTTATTTACAGTACTAAGCCCTAGTTAATTAGTACTAGGCATGAGTTGATTTAAATTACTAAGCTGTGGTTTATTTACAGTACTAAGCCTTAGTTTATTAGTACTAGGCATGAGTTTATTTATATTACTAGGTCCTATTTTTTTATATGTAAGCCCCAGCTCATTTACAGTACTAAGGCCTAGTTTATTAGTACTAGGCATGAGTTTATTTATATTACTAGGTCCTATTTTTTTATATGTAATCCCCAGCTCATTTACAGTACTAAGGCCTAGTTTATTAGTACTAGGCATGAGTTTATTTATATTACTAGACCCCAGTTTATTTAAATATGTAAGCCCCTGCTTATTTACAGTGCTAAGGCCTAGTTTATTAGTACTAAGCATGAGTTTATTTACGTTACTAGGCCCCAGTTTATTTAAATATACAAGCCCCAGTTTATTTACAGTGTTAAGGCCTAGTTTATTAGTACTAGGCATGAGTTTATTTGAATTACTTGGCCCTGGTGTACAGGACTAGGCATGGAATAATTTACATCACTAAGCCCTAAGTTATTTACATTACTAAGCCCCATTTTATTTACAGTATTAAATGACTAAGTTTATTTCCTGTACAAAGTCCACGTTCATTTACAATACTGAGATCAATTATTTACATTATAAATAATTAATAGTGCTGAACCCTCATTTATTTATAGTATTAAGCTCTAGTTTATTTGCAATACAAAGCCACACTTTATTTATAGTCCTAGGCCCTCATTTATTAACAATACTGGCACTAGCACTAGCACTAGTACTAGTACTAGTTTATTCTTAAATTCCAGAGTCAAGTTAATTTGTAGTATTATGCTTCAGTTTATCAACAGTACTAGGATTCAGTTTATTTAGTCCTATATTATTGTATATATTTTTTGTAATCATTTCCTTACAGCCCTGACAACATGGGGCTGCTGGACCCCGCCACCAGCGACGGCCGTGTCATCTTCTTCCTACCCTGGGAGAAGATGACTATTGCTGGGACAACAGACACACCCACTGACGTCACAGCCCACCCTATCCCCATGGAGGAGGACATCAACTTTATCCTGAGTGAAGTTCGCAATTACCTCAGCCCTGACGTGGAAGGTACAGTCAACACAACTCCATGTGTTTGTTTCACTGCTATATGTACAGAAACACAGCGTCACCTGTTCACATTAGCACATTCAAATCTGTGGTGATAAGTCAGTAAAACGTAGCAACCAAATGAGTAAATCGGACATGGAAAGCAGTTCCTCATAACAGCATTCTTATACACAGTGATTCACATTTAACTGTTTAATTTACGTCCTTTCAGAATAATAAACATTGATTCCAGATTTATATTTCCTAATGGAAATGGCTCTTACTGCCCTGACATTAACATGCCTTTCATTCTGGGCCGCTCTGGCACCCTGGCTTCTGCTTGTGCCCTGCGTGTGTCCTCTGGTGAGTTTGGTTTAGTACTGCAGACAGACAGACAGGCAGGCTTGTTGTGGAGCGGTTGAGTCTAAATCATAACGAGTAACCGCCTTGTGGATCTTCATCAAAGAGTGGAGGTATTGATTTTTAGGAGCAGCCCTCTTAATTGGACACAGCGCCACAGCCGTGGGCTTGATTGTTTGATTGATTGGACTGATAGCAGCTCTGCCCCCTCCCAAATCAGTCCTGGATTAGCTAGATTAGCAAAAGCTGTGTTCTTTCAGGCCTGCTGGGGTGGGATTTGTTTGGATTTAACCTTGTTAAATGTTTGTTAAGCATCTTATCTGATGCTTACTGATGGTGGTGTATCGTTAGCTCACTGATGGTAGTGTTATGTTAGCTTGCTGATGGTGGGTTTTATAGTAGTGTTTCATTAGCTCTCTGATGAAGGTGTTTATTAGCTCACTGTTGGTGGTGTTTCGTTAGCTTACTGATGGTGCTGATGGTGGTGTATGGCTAGCTCGCTGATGGTGGTGTATCACTAGCTCGCTGATGGTGGTGTATCACTAGCTTGCTGATGGTGGTGTATCACTAGCTCTTTGATGGTGGTGTATCACTAGCTCTCTGATGGTGGTGTATCACTAGCTCTCTGATGGTGGTGTATCACTAGCTTGCTGATGGTGGTGTATCACTAGCTCTCTGATGGTGGTGTATCACTAGCTCTCTGATGGTGGTGTATCACTAGCTTGCTGATGGTGGTGTATCACTAGCTCTTTGATGGTGGTGTATCTCTAGCTTGCTGATGGTGGTGTATGGCTAGCTCGCTGATGGTGGTGTATCACTAGCTCTCTGATGGTGGTGTATCACTAGCTTGCTGATGGTGGTGTATCACTAGCTCTCTGATGGTGGTGTATCACTAGCTCTTTGATGGTGGTGTATCACTAGCTCTCTGATGGTGGTGTATTGTTAACTCCCTGCTGGTGGTCTATCACTAGCTCCCTGATGGTGGTGTATCACTAGCTTGCTGATGGTGTATCACTAGCTCTTTGATGGTGGTGTATCACTAGCTTGCTGATGGTGGTGTATCACTAGCTCTCTGATGGTGGTGTATCACTAGCTCTCTGATGGTGGTGTATCACTAGCTCTCGGGTGGTGGTGTATCACTAGCTTGCTGATGGTGGTGTATTGTTAACTCGCTGCTGGTGGTCTATCACTAGCTCCCTGATGGTGGTGTATCACTAGCTTGCTGATGGTGTATCACTAGCTCTCTGATGGTGGTGTATCACTAGCTTGCTGATGGTGTATCACTAGCTCTCTGATGGTGGTGTATCACTAGCTTGCTGATGGTGGTGTATCACTAGCTTGCTGATGGTGGTGTATCACTAGCTCACTGATGGTGGTGTATCACTAGCTCGCTGATGGTGGTGTATCACTAGCTCTCTGATGGTGGTGTATCACTAGCTCACTGATGGTGGTGTATCACTAGCTCTCGGACGGTGGTGTATTGCTAGCTGGCTGGTGGTAGTGTTTCGTTACCTCTCAGATGATTGTGGTTCCAGTCCCGAGTCATATATTACTGCTCCATTGTAACTCACAGGCTTTGACAGCTAGCGGTGGCTTAGGGCCAGGCTTCAAAAACAGCAATGTGACGGCTGACGTATGCCAGGGTGTCCTACCCTCGCTCACAGAGTCCGGCGGGTGGCTGAACTGCCCGGGGGGCCTGAGGAAGGGCTGAGCGTGTGAATACAGTGGACAACAGAGAGACTGGAAAAGGCTGGGCAGATGACAGGGAGACCTTGCCTGTGGTCATGGAAAGTTGTCTGGTATGAAACGAGGAGGCTGGACTGTACTGGACAATAGGGCTACAGGGGGATAGCCTACATATTTGTCACATGGAGCGTGTAAGGGACAAACCCTTGCTGTTGTGCCTCTGAGGATAGACAGAGAAGGAAATAAAGGAAGAAAGAAAAGCCAAACATTGCTCATTCAGCTCTGTTGCAAAGACTGTTCAATTGGTTAGTGACTAAAGTGACGTTTACATTTAGATCTGTGGGAAAGTAAATAGGGTTGAAAATTCTGGTTGATAGCACACGTTCACTGACCGTGATACGTCCATGATGCTTCCATTGCAGCATATAAGGAAAAGTGCAGCTGTTCCTCAGATGACTCAAAATGTCAGTGCAGAATGTGATCAGACAGTCAGCAAGAACAGTCCATCCATCTACACAGAGAGGGATATTATTGTAGGGTTGCAGTGCATAAACCCCACATTACCATCCGCACTGGTCAACAGAGATATGGAAAACAGTCATATATTCAGATGAGCCATCACCATATTCTCCACAAGTGGGAGAGTGAATGTGCAGCGTACACCAAGAAAGTGGTACAAGCTGGAATGCTTGACCCCTACGTTGAGGAGGTCCAGTGGCTCTGTTATGCTTTGGGGGACATTTTGCTGCCATGGTCTGGATCCACTTGTCCCCTTAGAGGGAAGAGTCACTCCAGATCAATACAAAGTTATTCTGACCGATCACCTTTATCCTATGATGAAACGTTTCTATTCTGATGGAAGTGGTCTCATCCAGGCTGACAGTGCCCCCATCCACAGGACACAAGGGGTCACTGAATGGTTTAATGTGTATAAAAATAATGTAAATTATATGCTATGGCTGTCGCAGTCATCAGTTTCAACCCAGCCAAATGCTTATAAGAGATTTTGGACGTACATGTTAGACAGTGCTCTCCACCACCACCATCTGAAGGAATATCTTTTGGAGGAATGGAGTTTTATCCCTCGAGAGAATGTATGTCAAGGTGCATTTAAGCTGTTCTGGTGACTCGACACTGAGATTTTTTTTTCTTTAATTTGTCACCCATCTGTAATTGAACAGCAGAATACAGGCAAAATAACATATTGTGGCATCATGATATTGTTAAAGACTGGCCTGCGTTATTTTAAAAGGCCTAATTTGTTTGAGGGCTGATTTGCAAATTGCCACCTTTTACGATATCAGTATTGTGCAGGCCAAAATCACACCGAATATTAATGAACAATATATTGCTGCTGTCGGAACAAAACCTTGTATCTCCATTTTTGACATAATTGGGAAATGCCTGTTGGCCTTTACAGTGTGTGTACATTTCATGATGAAAGGACCAACAGAAACAGGCCAAAAAACGTCTGGTTCCATTGACTTACATTAAAAGTAAAGTATGTTTTTTCCTTCTCCTGTAAAGGTACCATTTTGGAGATACAAGGTTTTCTCCCGACAGCAGCGATATATTGTGCAGTCCTAACATTTAGATACCGTACTATGTAAAAGTTAGAGTCAACCAAAGTGGCCATTAAGTAAGCATCAGGAAAAAAAAGCAGAATACATACATTTTGCAGAAAATTCCACAAAAGCCTATAACACCAACCAGTCACTCGTTATTTTTGTTCATCGTGCTGCCACTTTAACTCTTAAATTCTTTCTTTCTTAAAAACCAAGAAGTTACAGCTGTGTCATCCCAACAGAAAAGCACTACCTAAACTGGACCTTTGGGATGTGGAGATCTCAAAGATCCAGTTATAGACTGTTTATAGTTTATAGACTGATGAGTCCAAATGTGTAATTGGGAATGCTGGGATCATAAGAAGCAGAACATGCAACCGACTTCTAAGACTGATCTTTGGAGGTGTGGAAAAATATCCCTGCGGATTTATTTGAAAAACTGAAAGCAATAAAGTAATGAAAGCATACTAAAAACATTTTATATTTAGTTATTTATTTTTCAGCATCAGAGAAAAAGCTAAATTATATATAAATTTTGCTTTTTCTCTGATGCTGAAAAATAAATAACTCAATTCCTGTAATTTCTGTTACATTTTGAAAGGCTTGTACTGGTAAGTGCACAAGGTGTGCTTGAGTACAAACTCTCCCCAAAATAATTGCAAGTAGTTAAGTAGTTTAGTTGATTCTGTAGCCTTTGAAATGGACATCTTCCCCAGGGGGCTGAGGCTGGATCTTTGTGACAGAGCTGCAGTCTGTTTCTGAGTCTCATTTAGGCAGTTTGTGTGTGTGTGTGTGTGTGTGTGTGTGTGTGTGTGTGGAGGTAGCTGTTATTGCCTTCTCCAGCCTGCTGTCTGCTCAGCTTCCCAGCCCTGTCATAAATGTTTCAGCGATGCCCTTTGATAATGAGGCTGCCGTCTCCTTTTTTTTCATCCATTCAGAAATATCAACCTGCATATTACAGTGGCAGGTGTGTTCTCGATCGATACACAACTCCATCTTAATAATTAATGCTCGAGATGTCACCGCAATGGGGAAATTGACTCCGGACTCAATTGTGGCATTGCGGTCGTGGCGTGTAGATATAGCTGAGTTAAAAAGCAACACGGTGGAAAAGTAAATCTGTAGCTGCAAAGGCTCTGGAAGCACTACTGGTATTTTAAACCATGCTGTGTTGATAGTTCTTGATAGTTTAAGGGGCTGATACAAGAGCTGCACAATAAAGTTTCTATTTATCATTATGAGTTACTGCAATAAACACATTTGTAACAGCTGTGATGACAGAATGGCTCTAATAACCTCCCACACGCGGCGCCAGAGTGACGCAGTTACACTGGCAGAATGTAGCCCAACAAGTTCACCCCTACACTGGACTCATTCAGCTAAACAGCCAGTTAAAAACGCACATGTGCACAGCTCAACTACACTTTAACTACTAGCCTAAAAAACACTTCAAACATTATAACTATTCTTAGACCTAGAGTTGTGTGTGAAATGTATGAAGCAATAATGGCTACTGTTACAACAAACGTGCATCACCATAACGAGCTTATTAAGGAAATAAACGTATCTTTGCTGTTGCGAAAAACCCTTCTCCCTCTATTTTTGTCATTTTTTAAATTTTTTATCATTTGAAAACTCCACCCTTGGTATTGTGTTAAAATTTCATGATGAACAGGCCAACAGAAATGATCCAGAATTACATGGAAAAATACCTTGTTACATTAACTTCCTTTACAAGTTAAGAGTGTTTTTTTCTTCTCCTGTGAAGTCACCATTTTGGAGATAGGAGGTTTTGTTCTGACAGCAGCGATGCATTTGTTTATTTTTGTAGGCTTATATAGAAAAATCTGTTTAGGGAGTGCTGCCTGTTTTTCAGCCTTGCAGTGCACAGAAATTGTGCTTGCAGTTCTGATGTAAGTAGCTGTTCGTATTTTCATTTTATTTAATTTTATTATTATTAATTAATTAATTAATTTATTTATTTGCACAGTTAATGCTGCTTTTGTATTTTGTAATTTAGCATTTTTAGATATTTGCTTCAGGAAAAGGATAGTTAAATTTCTGTGTACACTGCATAAAAATAAAAAATAAAATCAATAAATCAAAAAGAGGCTGTATTTGCTGCAAAAAGAGTTTAATTATAATCATAATTCATCACTTCTCATATTATCTTGTTGTCCAACAGCTTTATTGAGCGTTGCATTTGATCACCATACTGTGCAGCTCTTCATGAAATTCAGCTTATTCCATACTTCTAATACACATATAGACTAATACGTATATATATATATATATATATATATATATATATATATATATATACACATATAGACAAATAGACTTACTGACTATGCTTCCTAACATTATATAATGCACTATTTATTGGAGAAAAGTACGTTATGGTTAAAATAGTGGAATAGGTCACATTAACCCTTTAAAGCCTAAGACTAGACATGGTCAGACATATCTTTTTGTTAATCACTGTCAAGCAGTGATACAGTCTACAAGTGATCTGCATGCTCTAATGCAGCACAATCCAAGCTTTTCAGTAATACCTGTTATTGAACACAAATATTAAAAGTTAAAAATGAAGACATAATGCTTAAAAACACTGTAAATGAATTGTTTTCACATTTTTACTCAAAAAGCAACAAAAACGTACAGAACCCAAAAATTGGACTGAATAATTGAAACAGTAAACCGCTTTATGTGTTCAGTATTGCTTTACGGCTGTACGGAGCCACATCGTACTCCCGACATTTGTTAAGTGTCACCAGCATTCTTTTCACTGCTCTTGAAAAACATTTGTAGTTTTTCAGCCACCATCTTGAAGAAAACCTTCTTTTTTCTTTTTTAAAAGCCTTTCAAAAGTCGCACTGGAGCCCACTAGTTTGGAACGAGAACGCTTTGTTGGCGGTCATGCTTTGAAAAGCTGGAATTTTGTCTATATTTTGTCTGTTTTATTAGGTAACAGTATAGCATAAAGTCTCAGAAACCACTTAAGGAAGCTTGAGATTTCCTATCCATTAGATGTGTTTTGAGGCAAGCATAGAGTTTTCACAATGCTAATTGTCAGGGTTTAGATTTTACATTAGCCACATAACTTCAGTGCAAAACTAAAGAGGCAAACTTCTGACATCAAACATGTCTTGGCTGATTGACTCTATTAGGTGTAAAGGGTAAGTTGGGCAAATTAGATTTTTCGCCAGACAGTCCTTTTGAATAATAACAATAAGCAAGCATTAAAGTCAAACTGTTCACCAAGCACAGCTTCATTAAGCCATTGGCATTTTCTTTTTCTCTCATATACACACAGACACAGTGTCATACCCTTCAGCTGTGTAAAGTGTGTGGCTCTTCTTTGTCGTTTCCAGTGCGGAGGGGAGACGTCCTGGCGGCCTGGAGCGGCATTCGTCCGCTGGTGACTGACCCGAACTCCAAAGACACGCAGTCCATTTGCCGCAACCACGTCGTCAGCATCAGCGAAAGTGGCCTGGTCACCATAGCTGGTCAGCTTCCTCTGAAACAATGATGTCTTTGTTAAGTCTCTGTTAGCTCTTTGAAGAAGCGTCTACTGTTGCATTGGCCAAGCACAGGCTGATGGCCAGGGAATGTACATTTCTGCTTCTGTGGCTCTCAGATGGAACACATATCCTCTATTTAGACCTGATAACCAGCTGTGTGTTGTATTACATAAATCCCACTGTACTTTTCCAGTATTTTGATGATACTCTTTGTCCTTTAAGGTGGTAAATGGACCACCTATCGCTCTATGGCAGAGGAGACCCTAGATGCTGCAATAAAGGAGCATAAGCTTCCAGCTGGCCCCAGCCGAACCGTGGGGCTGATGCTGGAAGGGGGGAAAGACTGGACACCTACACTGTACATCAGACTGGTCCAAGATTATGGCCTGGAGAACGAGGTGAGCATGGGTCCTATAGACTTCAGTAGAGGCCTATATATAGGCCCATTAACTTTATGCGAATTTCACAGGTGACAACATGAAAATGCTTTAAAAAATGTTTTTTTTTTTGCTCATAATGTTTGCATCAAAAAATCAACAAATGTTGCTATTAATTTAATGGTTTACATCCAAGGAACACCATTTCTTTAAAAAAATATTTAAAAATATGTTAATTTTCATTCTTTTTAACTTGTTAATTCATTTATTGTAATTAAATGCTTCCCGTAAAATATTTCTCACATTACTTTCTAGAACATTTCACACACTTTGCTTAATCACTATACCGCTCTGCTGCCGTCCTTTTTATCTTGTAGTTTTGTTAGTTTGTGGTTTCTGTCACATGGCACTAAATGTATGTGTAGTTGCATTATTTTTGCTGTCAAAAAATATTTTCACTGTAGTTTTTCACCGTCTTTGCCTTCAGAAAAGGTCTAATGATTTATATGAGATAAAACGATACATGTCTGTAATTTTAGTTAATTTTTATGTAATAGAATCACAATTCTTGATGTATTTAAGCTCTACAAGTATTGTAGTACTACTCTTATTTAATTGTTAAGTTTTGGGTAAAAACAAAAGGGTTCAAATGAAAAACTGTCCAGTTAAGATTTTTCCCCACAGTAGTTTCTGGGTAAATACAGCCAGCTGACTCCCCTCTTGGTTAGGACTTCAGGAGCCGGACTGAAGGCCTTACATTAAGGATGACAGAGGAATCAACCAGTCATATTTTGATTTACAATCCCATAGATGTAGTAGAAAACAGATTATTATTGAGGTGTTTTTTCTCGTTGTTTTGAAAAGGTATTGACATCAATGGCCTGACGTAAAGGCCAAGCTCTAAAACTCATGGTGTATCCTGCATTTCAAAAATCGACAAACAATTTAGTCTGTAAAGTTGAACAGAGAAAAAAAGTTTTGCAGATATTTGCAGGTAGCAGCCGTGATTGTCGTTTCCCTACATCGTCAAACATTTCCAAGCTTGAAAACATTTTTCAAAATAAGTCCCTTGGATTGGAAACCTGCCTGCTGTTGCATTGGACCAGGTACAGATCAGAGTTCGTTAACTTTGCCACCACAATTACACTTTCCCACTGAGAGTGATACGGCCATTACAGAGCTATTACCTGAACAGCTCTCCCTCAGAGTCCTTCACTACGATCCTGCTTTATTTGGACTTATTTTATGCCTCCATTAGAAAATCAATTTGAACAGCCTTTAACGGAGGACGAGCGGTCCTTCGCTCTGATCGTTGGACTCCACCTCTGTCTGCTACTGACAGGCCACTCTGGAGCAGGCTGAGCTCACTCCAGTCTGCTGTCGTCCCCTGTGGATCGCTCAGGGAGTAAGACTGGCAACCCCTCATTAGGAGCAGGGAAAGCTCAATGGAGCCCCAGCCATATGATGGGCGCTGTTTTTTTTTTTTGCGGCATATTTAAAAAGGTCAGCATGCAGATATTTCTGACAGCATTTGACCTTTGGCGAGAGATGCAATGGAAGGGTTCGAATCGAAGTAAAAGCGGCACTGTTTGTATTTGTCCAAACGTTTAATGAAGCACTGGACCCAGAGCGTCATCCACAAAGACAGGTGATTCACCTGACACTGGAGAAAACACCATGTAGCCCAAAACTGGAGGATCTAACTGAAAGCCATGGGCCACCATTCAGCAAGTCACTGCAAAGACCCCTGTCCCGTCCTTAGAGGCAAAACTGTCATTGCCATTGAAGAACAAAGTGACACTGGCAAAATTTCAGTTAACACGTACCACTCACTGTGAGAAGTTTCACAGTCTTTCACTAACACGTATTCCAGTCTCTTGTCATGTTCTTGTTGAAATGAAAGGCAGCCATAGCAAGAATCTTATCACCTGTCTCCATTTAATCCACAGGTGGCCCAACACTTGGCAGCTACCTATGGAGGGAGAGCATTCGAGGTAGCCAAGATGGCCCAGGTCACAGGAAAGAGATGGCCAATAGTGGGCAAACGTCTTGTATCTGAATTCCCCTATATAGAGAGTGAGGTGCGTATTCCTAAAGACCTGAATTATAATAATCTGTCTGTCAAAAGTTTGGAGACTCTTTGCCTTTGTTTGATCTTTTCTAAGTACAGTTCAAGATAGAGGTGGGCAATATGACAATATTTTAATTTAAAAACAATAAATTTCTTCACAGTACACTTTTCTGTGTATATTGAAAGCACTAAGAATATAGTTAGTTCTGTTTAAATGAAAACCGTACAGTTAGTATGGTATACTCGTAGTACTTTTAAATGTGGCACTACTGGTGCTTTTTTGTCTGTTTCAACTTATCAAAACAAAAAAAAATATTGTTATCCATATTGCTTATGATGAAAATGTCTGCAAGTATCGTGATATTCTACGTTTGTCATATTGCACACCTCTAATACAAGATTTATTTCCATTCCAATGTAGTTGGATTTGCCTTAATGAACGCCGCACAAGAGAGATCAAATAAGACAACAGGGAACACATGTGGACCTCTCAGGCTTCCACATCAGTATTTACAGTGCGCTTTGGTGCAATAGAGTGCAAAAAAGAGTTTTATTTGAAGGTTCAAACTGTAATTTTTTTAAGCAATAAAATAGCTGCAAAGGATTTGTTAACAATAAACAAATACAGTCATATGCAAATGTTTGGGCACCCTTGGTCATGGTCAAATTACGTGTTAGAAAAACATATGTTTTGTTGATTTTCTAGGAGAAAATAAGTTCACACATTCTCTACAAAGAACACACTTCTGCACATTTTAATATACATATTAAAATATAATATACTGTTTGCTGAATTTAACATATTTAGCAAGGTTAGGGCACATTTTGTAGTTTATGTTTTATAATTCCCAATATGTTAAACTCATCAAATAACTAGGAAATGTGCACTAAAATGTGTATGCCATAGTAAAATGTGTTCTCTGTTGAGGATGTGTTCACTTAGAAAATGAGCAAAACGTAATGTGGTTGGGGTGTTCAAACTTTTGCATACTGCACATTTTGGGTATATTTTGAAACACTCAGCATCACGTTCATCAAAGAAAAAACCTGGAGAGCAGGTTTTTATGGAAGTCTGGAGAGGCCATGAGTTATTGCTATAATTTTCTGGATTGTTTTCTTGAGATAACAAGATAAGTAACTTGTTATTACAAGATAACTATTTTGCTATCTTGGGATAATAAGACAATTAACTCGTTATCTCAAAATAACAATCCAGAAAATTATAACTACCTCATGGCCTCTCTGGACTTCTGTAGGTTTTGCCTATTTGCATATAAAATAATGTTTTCCTCATAAAATATCTGATCATTTTTGATATTCTAATTTATTGCAAACTTACAAAGAAAATAATTATTTGTGTTAAAAACAAAAGTGTCCTGAAATCTTTATATATGTTGAAATTCTGCTGTCATACTTTTTAGTACAATGAGTACTGAGAAGTATTTTATATAAAAATACTAACGGTACTATTAAGTACTGTAATATCTAGAATATACTAATGCATTAAATCAATACTAATTACTAATGTGCCACAAGAAAGCCCTTGCTGATGGCTTGTTCCTTGTGTTCAGGTGATCTATGCGATAAAGGAGTATGCCTGCACAGCCATTGATGTGATTGCACGGAGAACGCGGCTGGGTTTCCTGAACGTCCAGGCGGCAGACGAAGCTCTACCGCGCATTGTGGAGATCATGGCCAAACAGCTGGACTGGAGCGAGCAGAAGAAGAAAGTATGTCAAGCACAAAAACATTTACATTCAGTATTGCCAGGCTCAAACCTAATGTTCTAAATGAGAAAAACTTGGCAAAATATGACACACACACGTTTTCTAAGCCGCTTATCCTTCTGGGTCGTGGGGGGGGGGGCTGGAGCTCATCCCGGCAGTCATTGGGCGGAAGGCAGGAAACACCCTGGACAGGTCACCAGTCCATCACAGGGCAGATCATGATACACGCAACAGTACATTTTTCTTGTGCTTGCAAACACAGATTTTGTGTTGATCGAAAGTTTATAATCCACACTTTCAACAGAATCTTTCCTTTTGTTTCAGTGAGAAGTAATTAAATAGAACGTTCAAAGAGGCATTTCAAAGTGAATATGCTGCGGGGAACCTAAGAAGGCTAATATAAATAAGTAATAATAGTTACGTCATGAAGCAGAAGGACAGGAATTTTATATAAATAACATTGGGAAAAAATGTCAATAAATAACATAAAGTACAAAGTCTAATTATTACAACAAACTGAGTGTTTTTTCATTCAGTAGTGGCAGAAATATGATACATTTCATGAGCTTTTCTGTGAGTACAATCATTTTTATTTACTGTTTTATAGACTCTGTTGCACTAAATCCAGTTAAACAGGACGAATTATGCTCTCCTTGTAAAATAAACATGCAGCTGGTCAGTGTTCTGTAAGTACTGATATACCAGAAAAGCATATTGTGTCGTAATATTCTGTAATGGATCACAGTTACGATAAATGTAGTCATGATGCCCACCCCTGCTTGAAAGTGAGCACATTTGTTTTCTATTACAAGCTTTATCAGCTCTTTTAATGTTACGGCTCCTTCAAAATACCTTTGAGTGTAGGAATGAAAGCCAAAGGTCTTGGCCAGGTTAAGTTCGGTAATGACCACAGCTCAGCTATTGTTAACATCAGTCTAAAACTGTTTGCCCAGCAGGGAGCCTGAGACTTAAAATAACACAATTGAATCATACAATATCAGTTCAGTACCATACCTGAGTATTACTATAGCTTTTACGTGTGTGTCTGAGGGGGTATATTACTGCGTCTGCGTGTGTGTGAGGGGGTGATAGGGTTACTCTGGCCTTTCTACGTAGGTCCTGGGTTTCCTGTCTGATAAACAAAAGAACTAATAATAGCGCAGAGCGCTGCACGGCTTTGATACTTTTCGGTTCCCATGAGTTAAACGCTCTCCCCTTCTTTCAGCACACAATACAGGTGCACCACACCCTACACACACACACACTCTCCACAGGGAATCAGTGCAGTGCAGGTATATTTACACTCCATGTCTCCGGAAGCACTCTCAGCTGCAGCCGTCAGTTTCTCATAAGTCATGGCAGCGCCTGTGTTCTGCTTAGACTGCAATAAGAAAATGTAAGACAATTGAAAATGTGTTCAATTTGATCCGGTTTATGTAATACATTCCTGCACATATTCATGTTTAGAGGTTAGTAATAGTTGTCTGTGAAAGGTTTGGTTTACATTTCACAGTTATTTAGATAATATTTTCATTTAATACAGTTAAGATTTAATTTTCACTGTTATGAACAGGTTTAAATCTGCACCTTTTCAGTTTGTTTTGATTTCAAACAGTGACAAAAATATGACAAAATGTAAAGGATGTTTTTCCTCAGCCAAACAAGACGTATCATGATGACTTTAAATCAAAATTAAGTCATAATAAAATATCTCCTCTTCTACGTACAAACACAAATGGATGTAAAGTTCTGAATCTGCACTTTCACCAGAATTTCTCCTCTTGTTTCAATGACAAGCAATTAAATAGAATGTATGGAGAGGCATTTCAGGACTTATATGCTGTGGAGAACCTAAGAAGATGAAAATAATGACAGAAACTTTCGTGCCTTTGGCGTCTTGAAACCTACATTAACAATATTTAGCTCTGTCTTTCAGTTTACCTTGATAGTATATATTATTAGAAATATCTGATATATGCAACTCAATTTGTAATAAAAAAAAGTCTGCATTGCTGTGCGTCAGAGTTTTAGCACTCAGCATGAATCCAAGAGGACAGAAGATCAATGAAAACATGGCCGCCTCATGTTAATTGATTATTTTTACTCATAATGACCAATAGAATGAATCACCGGCAAAGTTCTTGTAGTTTCAGCTCACAGACACTCCAGACAAGTAATTTCTGAACAGATACCTACAAATCCACTTGTTTTCAAGATCTCTATAAGTAAAAAATTATAAAGATATCAAACTTCTGTTAGCATTTACATGTCAAATAATGGCATATTTGTGTAGCCCATGGTCTCATGGAAATAACAACATATGGCATGTGTGACTGTCATGTGTAATTTCCCAAAAATTCTAGAGTTCTAAGTGTTAAACTAAATTTAACTTAAGCTGCATTATATATTGTGTCCTGCAACTCTTTTGAAACTCAGCTGCATATCTCTCTCTCTCTCGCTCTCTCTCTCTCTCTCTCTCTCTATGTATATATGTGTGTGTGTATATATATATTTATATATATATATATATATATATATATATATATATATATATATATATATATATATATATGTATAATATATATATATATATATATGTATACACATAGCAAACAAACCTAGATAAACCAGAGATATATAGATTTAGAAATAAAAGGGCAATGGCAGCTAGAAGAATATATAAATTTGTCCTTGCGGGTGACTTCATAGCAAGAATGATACAGTATATCAAAAAATATGAGCTGCTTATTTAGTTAAGTAGTGGAGTAGCTGAATTTGTTGCGTAGAACTGTTTTTTTTTATTACTGATCAGAAAACAAGATGCACAATGACAGCATAGACACACATAATAAATCTCCCACCAATCTCCCTCCCACCCATCCATGCTCAGTTGGTATGTTGACACAACACAGTTTTCATAGAAACAAAGCCAAATCAACTTGGGATACACATGCACAAAACATTAATCTACATGCACATAAACACACACTTCTACCAATTTTGTTCATGTAACTGTCAAGTTGCACGGAAGTTGCGTTACAGGCAGCTCACAACATGAAATTAGTTGCATTAAAGTTTCACCATGTAAAGCTGGTCTAACTCTTACCCTGTTCCTAACTCTAATGCTATTCCAAATCCTAATCCTAACCCTAACACTGCTGAGAAAACCTCTGATTTTCACCAGATATCAGGCTAAGATGTACCATCCACATAACGTTCTCAGGTTCTCAGGTCACACGTCGACCCTTGCGGTTTTAAACAATTAGAAGTCATCATAGTGTAAATTATATAATGTTTGGAAACCATGTTCAGACTATTTTTGTCTATCTGTAGGAAGAACTGGAGGCAGCCAAGAAGTTTCTGTATCAGGAGATGGGCTACAAAGCTCGCTCTGAACAGCTCAGCAAGACCACCGAGATTTCACTCACTCCTCAGGAAGTGGCCAGGTACTGTGTGTATGCCAGTGTACATATGTTTTCAGCTTTCTATCAACCGTACTGACACTAATGTAATCTACAGATACAAGAAGCGCTTCTACAAATTTGACAAAGAGAGCAAAGGCTTCATTACTACACTGGATGTGCAACATGTTCTAGAGGTGAGTGTATCAGGCTTTTAGCATTAACTCATAATGTCACTACTAGTCTATTACTAAAGTCTGCTACTTTTATCTAACATCAAATTTTGAATGGTTATATGTTTGTGGTTGGCCATGAGTAATAGCCAAGTGTTTCAGAAACAGACCTGCTTTTTCTATCAATTATCAACTGTTTTAGCTACACTAAACTTCAGCCTTAAGGAATCTAAACATAAACATATGTCTTACTTGCTGTCATGATAAATCCAATTAAGTTTCGAGTTCCATAATTATTTTTATTTAACATATTAAACATTTTTTGATTACTTTATTACTAAAATCATTTAATAAAACTAAAATAAGGCAATGAGCCACTTTTCTGTCCAGAAATGATGTTAGTTTTGAGTCGACCATCTAGACTTGAAGTCATTTCAAAATTCTCAAGATTTAACTTTATTAAGTAAATTTATTTTACTATAAATAAAATAATCAAATTTATCTGCCAATATAATGAGATAAATTTACTTAATAAAATGACTTCAAACATATAAAAATTGTGCAGAAATAAGTTAGAAAGTCTAATAATAAGCTTACAACAATCTTAAAATGAGAAACATTAGATGTGTCGACTAGATTGAAGACGATTTTACTTGCCAAGTACCATTTTGCAGTGTACTTGTGGCAGATTTACCATAAAAATAGACGTTTGAAGCTTGTTAGATTGAAGTAATATTCTTTACTTTGTTTTAGTTTCAGTAAATCTAAGTCTAGTCTAAGTCTGCATAGAGCAGCCTGATCATCTGTTAGCTGCCTGTCAGTTAACCCCTTAATGTTCCAGATTTGTTTCATACTAAGGCTTATTATTCAGTAACTACAGGGACTTCAGTGCAAACTAATGGAGCTATTCTTAGGTTATAGAAGTGTAATAATACGTGTGACGTGTTAAGGGGTTAATCAGTCTAGTTGTTTAGAAAATACGTTTTAACAAAAAGTGTACTATTTCGGGCCGTTATGCTTATCTATGAATATGCGTAACATAATGGTACAATATAACAGAATAAGTTGTTGTGAGACAGTCATAGCTGTGTGTGTATACTGAGTATTATACAATCAGACCTAAGGACCAGATCTATCTGTGCTATAAAAACAGATTCCACAGACATGAAAGGCAGCAAAAAGTTTTTTGACCATATCATTATTTTTTCTGTCCTCAGAAACTCAGCATCCAGATTGATGAGAATGCACTCCACGAGATCCTCAACGAGGTCGATCTGAATAAGAACGGACAGGTGGAACTGGACGAGTTTCTGCAGGTACGATTTTGCACAGAAAGAGCCAGAATCACATATGGAAAAAGCCTAGACTCATTTAGTCAGCTACTGTATTTATAGAGCACAGATCTTTCACAGTGCCTCATTCTCTGTCTTTTGTTCCGGCTTTATTTGAGTTTAAGAAGCAAGGCTTGATGGAAGCTCCCGCAGAGTGAGACAGAGGTGTGAAAGCTTAACTATTCTGTGCGTGCATCCCGACCCGAAGCCTGACAGGCCAGCAGTAATTAAAAGCTCAGAGATGTCTTTATGGAAGTTGGAATAATGAGTATGTCCTCCTGTGGTAAATTAGTAAGAGTCATGTGGAGTTTGTCTCTTTGTAAGGAAGCATGAATTAGATTATCTGTGTAATTGATAGGGAGCAGGGGACAGGTGTTAAAATATGATGATCACTGTCCGTTTTAATTTGGACTTAATGAGAGGCCACCGCTGGAGCGTGTGCAAGGTAATGTTGTGTGACATGACACAGGCATTGGCTGAAAGGTCCGTTCCATTGTCCATACAACTGCATGCATACATCTGCATCCCTTAAAGACCAGTGGCGTGGGTACAGTTATGTCCATCAGCTAGCCTACTTCAGTTTAACTAAGGCAATAGAAAATGACCACCCCTCCCATTATCATAACCAAAGAAACCAAAGTAATTTGTAAACATAATGTAAACATTTAACTCTCAGAAGAAGTCAGTTTGTGGTTTTATTACTTCTTAGTCATTAATAATACATAATAACACATACTATTCACTACCTCCGCTCTGCCTGCAGCTGTTTTACCTGATTTTTTAGCATTATTGTCTTATTTTCATTATTTTATTTGGATTATTTTATCATTATTTTAGTCATTTTAATGAATTTTTAGTTGACTTTTTTATCTTATTCTCCTTTTATTTTATTTTGATATGATTTGATTTTATTAACTTTTACACTTCAGCTAGGTCTTAATTATTGTTTTATATTTTCTACTGTATTTTATGTACTTTTATTATTAATGTTTCATTTTTTATACTTACTTGACTTGAGTAATTTTTTAAATTAAATTTACTTTTATTATTTGATATGTTCTTACACATTATCAATCCCTTGTTCTGTATCAACTCGGCAACATTGTAAATGAGGGTCACCCTCAGTGTTCTCCGAGATTAATTAAAGGTTGATTGACTATGCCAGCAATAGGGATTATGCACAGGTACTGAGTTGCTCAGTTAACCATTAGAGGTGCCAGTATTCAAATACTGAAATTGCTATATAATACTCGCTCCATTTCATCACAGGAAAACTGAGAAAATATATAGACTAGCAGTTCACTGAAACTTTATTGAACTTGATTGAACTTTAGTGAACTTAATTGAAGTTTAATGTTTTAACAAGACCTTTACGGTTTGCTTGTATTTGTGAATAACTGTTTCTACTACGGGCGGCACGGTGGCGCAGTGGGTAGCGCTGTCGCCTCACAGCAAGAAGGGCCTGGGTTCGATTCCCAGCCGGTCGACCAGGGTCATTTCTGTGTGGAGTTTGCATGTTCTCCCCGTGTCTGCGTGGGTTTCCTCCGGGTACTCCGGTTTCCTCCCACAGTCCAAAGACATGCAGTCAGGCCAATTGGAAATGCTAAATTGCCCCTAGGTGTGAATGTGTGTGTGATTGTATATGTATGTCTGTCTGCCCTGCGATGGACTGGCGACCTGTCCAGGGTGTATCCTGCCTTCCGCCCAATGACAGCTGGGATAGGCTCCAGCACCCTACTGCGACCCAGAAGGATAAGCGGTTTAGATGATGTATGTATGTATGTATGTTTCTACTACACTGTGCCACTCCGAAACACAAGTGTCTGACGTGCCATTAAAGACGTGACTGAGAAGGCAGATATAGCTCGAGTTTATTGGCTTAATGCTAACTGGGCTAATTACTTTAGCTAAAACACATCTACTGACATGTTGTGTGTTGTTCTGACTGGTGCTATAGCACTTCTAGAGGGTGGGGGTAAGTAATGTTTGTTCATTTGATTATTGGTAATAACACCTTTAGTGGGTGGTGGTTAGTAGTGGTTGTTTATTTCAGCTCTATCTTCAGTTGGGAGCTACTAAGGATCAGCATCTAGACAGCAAGAAAGCTTATCAGCCAGTTTGGCCACTGAAAGCTTGTGCTGTAATAGTTACATACATAGGAACAACAAGGGACAATTAAATCATTCATTGCAATTATTTCTATGGCAAATAATCACCATCTGAAATTTCATGATGGTGACGGGCCTAATGACATAGTTAGATACATCATGACTTACATTTACATTTGATTTACATTCTGTATAAACAGATTTCAGCTACACTTCTGGAGTTTTCCATTTATTTCAGTCTAAACAAATGGCAAACACAGCCAATAAAATGTAATACAAAAACGCAGTGCAATAACTTCATCAACTTCAAATCATGTTTGAACAACTCTTTTACAACCCCATTTCCAAAAAAGTTGGGACACTGCGCAAAATGTAAATAAAAACAAAATGCAATGATATGCAAATCTTTTAAACCCTATAATTCATTGAAAATAGCACAAAGACAACAAATCAAATGTTGAAACTGAGAAATCTTATTGTTTTTTTAAAAAATATATGCCCATTTTGAATTTGGTGCCAACAATACGTTCCAAAAAAGTTGGGATGGAGGCAACAAAAAGCTGGTAAAGTTGTGTAATGCTAAAAAAACACCTGTTGGTTGATTGGCAACAGGTCAGTAACATGATAAGGCTGAGTCCTCCAGAAGTAACGATGACGAGGGGTTCACCACTCTGTGAAAGACTGCACGAGCAAATAGTGCAACAATTCAAGAATAACGTTTCTCAACATAAAATAGCAAAGACGTTTTGCTTTTCATCATCTACGGTACATAATAATACCAAAAGATTCAGAGAATCTGGAGAAAAGGGACAAGGGACAAGCCGAAAACCAGTATTTGCTGGCCGTGATCTTTGGGCCCTCAGGTGGCACTGCATTAAAATGGAAAACATTTAACTTTCAAAACTACAGCAGTGTCTCCTCAGTTCCCAAATGCTTACAGAGTGTTGTTGAAAGAATAGTGATGAAACACGGTGGTAAACAGGCCCCCGTCCCAACTTTTTTGGAACGTGTTTTTGGTATCAATTTCAAAATGGGCATATATTTTTCAAAAAACAATAAAATTGTATCAGTTTGTTGTCTTTATACTATTTTCACTGAATTATAGGGTTTAAATGATTTGCACATCATTGCATGTTGTTTTTATTTACATTTACACAGCGTCCCAACTTTTTTGGAAGTGAGGTTGTACTTAAAAACACAAATGTGGTATTGAAAGTTTAGAATCCCCATGTTCAGTAGTGTTTTTTTTTGCTTGTTTCAATGAACTACAAGTGAGAAACTATTGATGTCTAATTACGGCTAAGGGTTAACTGCCCACTATCACAACTGACCGCATACTGTGGGAGTTATAGGCTAATTAACCAAAGTCTTACCTCTTACAGCACCAGGTGTAGACATCCTGTCTAAGATTGACTGCGACTGTCTCATCAGTTCAGCGTCTCTGCTAATTCAGTGAGAGCAGTGTGATGTTATTCAGGCGTAGAGTCACCATTAGTGATCTTAAAGCTGTTTTAATTTAACCTGTTGACAATTATAATTATTTAATAAAAGTGTATTCTAATAATAATTTTATAAACAAAAAACCCAGTCAGCTGCTATGCTCGCTGGCTTTACTATTATTTTCTATCATTTTTTGCAGTAGAGAATGGATGATTGGCCTTACACCAAACGACTTTTCAAGTGATTTCACTGCGGCAGACAAATTTCCAATGTCAGAATAAAATCATGAGAGTCTTGCTAGAGTTGCGTCGCGCCCGCGTCACCTCGATCGTTTAGTGTGAGGTGGTCAGGATGGCCGTCTTAAGTTAGTCTTTTCCTCGTCTTGACGCTGCGATAAAATCAATGTTTAATATTATTTTAAGTTTTAAATCTTGGCTCATGCAAATAGTGACGTGCCAGGGACGAGAGAGAGAGAGAGAGAGAGAGAATGCATACATAAGAGCCTGAAATCTCAGTTAAAAGAAGTCAGATCTGCTCCACTTTAATACAATAATCATATTAACTTAAAATGTAAACTGGCTGTTTTAATATTTCAGGTTCACTGAGTGTAACAGTGATGTAAGGAAATGTGCAGAGGAATGCCATTACTGAAGAATCATAAATGTTTTGGTGCTTCCTGTTACACTGGTTTCTTATCATGTTTGTTTTTTTATGGTTTAGTTAATGGCACGCAGTCAGCAATGCTGAATCTCTGCATGTTTCTCTGACGTGTAAATCTTTATGTTAAATAGAGAAGTAACTGCACATTTTACAGGTTATTATAAAAATACTGGGTGATGATCTGCCAGAATATACAGTTCTACAATGAACTGTGCTGAGCCCAGATCTTTACACGCCCAGCCAACGTATCTTCCCATCTGTTCCACTACAGAGTGGAGAAGGAAAAGTGTTTATCTGCTTGTAAATTTCCACCGGGTGCATGAAGGGAAATAATCTCAAAAATGTAGTTGCAGTCTTGTAAATAGTGACACTGCAAGATTCCTAGTCTTTGCAAAATCATAGTCTGTGACTGAAAACTGGGACACTGTCTTTAGATGTGAGAGGGTGTCAGACTTCAGTCTTTCAAAAGTCTTTTCAAAGTCTTCTAGTGTATGGTCAGCATTATATTGAAAGTAAGGAGCGTTTTTGCCCTCTCCTGTGAAGTTACAATTTTGGAGATGTTTTTCTTTGGACAGCGACAACATGCCAGTCATGGACTTCTGTTCTGCCAGCACAGAAGTCCAAAAGAGAATCCCACCCCTCTCCTAAACACAGCACAACTGCAGATCATAGTTATTATTCAGCCAACCAACAGATGTAGTATTTTATTTTTATGGACGTTGACCTGCAAAACAAGCAGAAGAACTATCATGGGTGGTGCTTTGAACCCCTCCCCTGGGTGGATGAATCTGATTGCGAGCTTGTTGAAAGAGTATTCAAAGAGAACTCAGACGTGTCTTTAGAAAACATGAATGAATTACCTACTATCCTCATCATATCTTCATCAGCATAATGTTGATTTTGCATTTGAGACCTAAACATCGAGCCGGACCTAAACATCGAGCCGAAGCCCATCCTGCATAACCACTGTTCTTGTGTCTGATTAGATCTGTGTTGTTCTCTGATTGGTTTAGCTCATGAGCGCAGTGCAGAGGGGCCAAATCTCGGACAGCCGGTTAGCTATCCTGATGAAGACTGCCGAAGAGAGTCTGGACCTGAGGGGGCCAGTGTCCGTGGACCGCAGTGGCGGAGGGGTGTGAGTGCCACCCCTACAACATGCGCCAGCTGCGAAAAGGTGACCACTTACTGTCCGAAAATGTTGCAAACAATCGCCTGCCTTCCACTGTTGTTTGAATACATTCCTTATTTTTTATGCTGCTTTGCATTTATTTTAATGAGCACAGCTGAAATTATTTAATAGTGAGATATGTCTGTTTAATCTTCTGTAATACTATATTCTATCATTTATAAAGTGGATTCTGCTCGTTTCATTTCTTTACCTCCTTTCACTGGAGCATACTGCCTGTGCATGCAGTGCCATTTTGTGCTTTCCGCTGGTCAGCGTGGGCAGCTGTCTGTCCTATAGATACTGTGTCCTGAAGCACTGAGCTTTTCTGCTGTGCCATTTGTACGTGTGTGATGAAAGCATGGAGGAGCATGTGCACTATATGTGGAGCTACTGTGATGCACGTAGCAAACTTTTGCACTTTCTGTAGGTCTTCTCAAGTTTACACGTGCTACTGTGTGGTTACTGCTCTAAACTGCAATCGCCGATTCGACAATAGATGTTTTTTTAGCGCTCCTGATGCGTCACTGTTATCTTTATACTTGGTCTTTTCTAAGGAGATGAATATTTATTGATAATCTAGCGACTCTGTCCTTTGCTGAATATGCCATGCTGTGGTCCTGGACAGTGTTTTTTTCACAGTGCTGAATGTAATTTTGATACTGTATTAACAATTTTGCCTGAATACGCACAGTTTTTTTAATACCATTCGTGTAGGACATTGTCTTTCATTTAACCAAAGAGGATATTATCTTATGATAACGAATGCTTCACTGATATGTGTATGTTGATCTGTGGGTAGTATAAGCCCTTGTTTTGTCTTTCTTTCGATGTTTAGAGGGTTACTGGAAGTTTATCTGTCAAAACAATGCAAGGTTATGCTCTCAGAACGCTACTGGAATCATTAAGACGAGGCTTATTTCCTGCTAACTTTAAGGATTTAGAAGGGATTCAGTATTTAATATTTACTGTGCCTTGTTTCCTATGGAGTGAACACTATAAATGAACTTGGCATGTTGAAAAGCACACACACCCTTTTTTAAACCCATTATCCAGCAATGTATTTTCTTATGTGAAATGTATTGTATCTGTATTTGCTGTTATGAGAATCACTACTTTAAAGTGTATCTTATGAATCGATGGTAAACTTCTCTAAGGTTTTGTTAAGGAAGTGGTTCAGTGAAAAATGTAATTTGCCCAGTTTCCCCTTTACTCCAGATGTAGACGATCAGCCAAGACATCGGTGGCTACATTTTGCTTCTTTAGTTTAGCGCAGGAGCTACCTGGCTAACCAACACTAGAAGTCAACAAACCCCTGTGAATACATCCCCAAAATTCCTCTCAAACCACATCCAGGTCTTCATTAAGGTCACACAGTGATTTAGAGGACGTTACAACTGAACTGCAGCTCCCTCTCATGTGCACCCAAGTCACCCACAGAATGTGGACGCAAGATTTATTTATTTGTAATTTTTGTTCAGTTGTTCTATTTTAACATTAATAGAACAACATTTAACATACATTAATTTCAGTATGTAATACACCTGTTTACAGTTGTTCCTATTTATATACATTATATATAATCCTTATTATGACAATTCAACAGTTATTTATAGATATATCAGAAATGTGATCTGTCTGCATGACGTGCATCCAAGGGACGTAGGGAGTGGGGGTGCTGAGGGTGAGATTTCAGTATTGCAACTTTTGCAAATAATAACAATAATAATAATAATAATAATGAAACATTCTGAACTTTGTAGTAATTTGACTATAGTAACGACTCATGTGTTTGTTCCAGAGTGGAGTTCGTATTTTATATTTTATTTTTAATTTTCACAATCCGCAGTAGTCGTGTGACTGAATGCATATTTTTATTACAGTGAGCCAAAAACTGCTTGACATTTTGGGGGCTTGTTGCTAAAATACATGAATTTTGATGTACAAAGAGGGGCAGTTTATGCAGAGTTACAGGCTAGTTATGAGCCTCAAAGCAGCCAAATGTTGTTTTTTAAGTAAAGAAAAAAATTCAGTAATAATGATGTTTTATCAAACGGTGGTTCTTCAGCTCGGCTAGGTAAGAATCAGTTACCTCACCATATCAGCTGTCTGATTGGGCGCCGCTCAGTTCATTTGAATAAAGCTTGTCCAGAACAAGAGAGCTGAGCGACGATGTGCATCAGCGGTTTGATGTGTCAGTTATGTGTATTCATCATCTTCATATTGTTGAAGGCGAAAGATGACACGTTCTGTAAATTAGCAATCAAATGAAAAAAAACATTTTTCATGATGTCATCATTCACATCACATATACGCCACTTAAAATCTCAGCACCCCAACTTAAAAAACCTTCCCGCGTCCTTGTGTGTTAGAATTCAACACTACACCTGTTCTTTAAATGACCCAGCGTTGAGCTACACTGTGAAGTGTTATTCATTTTTATAGTTCAGTGTAAGTCATACTGTGTCCAGCTGACATGACGTGGTTTTGCTGTTATTTATCACTCTAGCGCGGTGGCCCAGCCTCATACCAGCCTCTGCTGCCTCTCCTGTTCACACTACATGAGTGTTTTCCACTCTTCCACAGCACCCCTGCTCCTGTTTTTATCTGTGGTCGTCCACAACCAAGCTGAGGAAATGAATGTTCCTCACATCATAACCATAATTGTTTTCATAACCGTGCGTTCTACCGACGCACACAAAACCTACTTGTAGTCCTCAGGTGTAGAGAACTTTCAGCCTGATCAACTTAAGTGAGTGTAAGTCAGGTTGATGAGGTGCACACAGTGAAAACACCCACAGAAACAGCTGAATGTACACATAAACAACACAGGAACCCTTTTACAACCACCCTGTTCAAAAACACTATCGGCTCAGCTTTCAACATTTACCGCTAAATATATTACTGCTGTCGGAACAAAACCTCGTATCTCCATTTTTATCATTTTGAGTTTTTATCATAATTTGAAAGTGACCTTTATATTATGTGTTAATTTCATGAATATTGGACCAAAGGAAATGGCCAAAAATGTTGATGATAAGAAGGATGTCTGGTTCCATTGACTTACATTAAAAGTAAAGTATGTTTTTTCCTTCTCCTGTAAAGTTACCATTTTGGAGATATTGTTCCGACAGCAGCGATTTGAAATCTCAAAAAAAAAAGGACAATGGAAGTAAAAAAAAAAACGTCGCTGTATACAGACCTATACAGATACTCACCAAAACTGTTCTTCGTCCTATTTAATATAATAATAATAATTAATAATAACATTCATGATTTTATTATAAATAAAATAATACTAAATTATTTTACGATAGTTCTCTCAATTAGATTTAAAATTTGCAAATCAGCTGTGTCAGCAGGCTGTGTTATTACATTAGCCATGTTTAATAAACCTTTCAGTAAGAGAAAATGTGGCCAATTGTTTTAAAGCGATGTGCTTATTCTGCCTAACAACAGCCACTCGACTGGCCAGTGGCGCTTCCTCCGCTGCCCCAAGCCTAATTAGCTAAAGGCATTGTACTACATCTGACTGAGAGTTGGGAGTTCATCCAAAAAAAAGACCACAGCAACAGCTTAGCTGCTGTAAATATGATGTATGTACTGGAATTCATTTTGTCGACCGTCCAGCCAGTTTTATAGACATACGTCAGCATTTGTTAGAAACATTAGCCTAGTAGCACCAACGATAAAACTAAGGACGCGAAATGTGGACACCAAACATGTCCTGGCTGATGGAATACATCTGGGATCAAAGGAAAACGGTGTAAATTTGATTTTTCATTCATCAGTATGTCCAGATCTCTGTCTGTCAGGTTTGGACACTGTGATAGCCTCAGTGCTAACTCCACTGTCTGCCTAAGTATATGAGAGAGGAATAGAAGCTACTGATGATTTGTTGGGTGTCCTGACAGGATGTAATTTCACCCTAATCCTGATTGAAAGAGATTCATATTCTGCGACAAAAAAAGAACTGTATAGTAAATCAATCTCCAACGCCCTAGAAATGCAATTATGTAATTAAACGTATCTGGTTGCTTAACGCATTGTTTGGGTGCTTTTTTCATTTGTCTGTGCCTGTCAGTTTGCTGAATGACTTCATATTTGGTGGTATCATTAACGATTGTGTTAACTGAAGCATGTAAGTCTTTCTCTGTCTCATACACACACACACACACACACACACACACACACCCAAATACACCACAGCATATACAGTACTTCACTCTCCTTTGATAGGAGGATTCAAACTAATTGACTCTAAATCCACCTCCAGGGCCATAATAAATCTATTATGCTCTAATTTCGCTGATTAATGAGAATCCGAGCTCGCAGTCCATCCGCGCTCTGAGCGTTAAGGTCCTTCGGTGGCTGGACGTCCCTTCCTCTGCCTCTCTAATAATCCCTCTGACAGGCCGCCACAGTAAGGCCGCTGCAGTGCCATCAGCACCCAGCACAATGCAATTAAAGCAGCCGGCTGGCGCTAATCCTCGGCTCATTTGAGCTGCTGTAAGACTAGCCATGTGAATCCAGTGTGATTACACCAGCATATTAAACTCAATCTCAGCCTCAGGACCTGTGGCCGCAGGAGCAGAGAGGCCAAAGCTGGAAACCACGGAGGTCAGGGAGATCCAAGATGGACGCTGGTTCAGAGTAAAAAGAGCATACGTGGCTGTCACAAGAAAGCCTTGAATCTCCAAAAGGGTAACTTTATAGGAGACAGAAAAATATTTTTTTCTGTCACTGTATGTTACTGTAAGGAGATTTTATAGCAAGTGATTTCATGGCCCTCGTCTTTAACTGTTCACACAATGTAGAGCAGCTGGTGTTTAAAAATATAGAAGCTGAAAGAAATCAAAGTCATTTTTATTGTAATTTCTTTCACATAGAACAGCAGACAGGCATAAATACAAGGTAACCCTTTCCAGTTGCTCAAATTTGCACAAACCTGTTTCTAATATCTAAGCCACTGTAAAATACTTGATAGGCACATCTATGACAGCCTCACCACAAACATATTCTGTATTAATGCACTGTTATGTTGCTGCACAGACAAATAAGCATATACATAGGACGAGTAAAAATGACAGTGTAATGCACAGCACTGCAGCAGCAAACTTCCCATTTCATCCCTCACCCCCACCACTTAGCCCCTACCCCTCTGTTTTGCACGTTCATGCTTAGGGGTCGGGTGTCCTGATTTCTGTTGGGATAGAGGGGTAGGGGGAAGTGTTAGGCACTTGGTCCTCCAAGTGGAGGTTTTTCAGAGCACACTCCAAACAAAATGTTAGGAGATGGCTGCGCAAGAGACCAAAGAAACCACAGATGTGAGAATTTTCTCAGTTAAAAAAATACAATAATCACCGTATTATCTTAGTTTAATGTCGTCTTAATGTATTATGGTCCTTTTCTTCATAACAAGCATAAAAATCACTATTAGTATGCTCATGTCTTGGTAGCTAGCTAGCTAAATTTCCTGTTCTACCTTTTAAGGAAAATTCGAACAAGAAGCTGGTAAATAGCTGACTTTAGCTTCATATCAATTAGGGGTGGGTGATAATAAATATGAAGCACCGCTAGTAGCCTGTTAGTGAAGTAATGTTCTTTTTTATTTGAGGGTCCCATTTCATAGGGAAGATTTCAACCAGTAGCTCCTGTAACTCAGTTCCAAAGGGAAAGATGAGACTCGAAAACAAGGGGTAGGGTTAAAATAAGAAATGAGACTGGGCCTTACCATCATTCCACCAAGGCTTCCCATGGCGGTACACGAAGGTGAGTGATCCTTCTCCTTGCTGCTGAGTGTGAACCTGTGCTGGCAGGGTGCTACAGTGATCACATTCACGCTAAGGGATGACCCATCAGTGTTTGGCAAAATGGTCAATATTAGTTCATCAAGATAGTAACAATATTAGCTATTAAAATATATAATCAAATAGAGATTTTAGCTTTAACTCAAAAAGTAGTAAGAATTTAAGAGTTACAGAAAGGTGTTTGAGATTATCTTACACAAACATTGCACAAAAAGTTATTCTAACATGCTGTGTTTAGTATTCTAAGAAAATTAACCTTAAAATTGCTGCTTTGGTCACTCACGCTTCAACTTTTATAGACCAATGGGTTGTTTCAAATTTTTAACCCCTTAAATAGCCAGGGCCCAAAACTTTATAACACACTTCTATATCCTAAGAGCAGCTCGGCCAGTTTGCATTGAAGTCCCTGTAGTCACTAAATAATGAGAGTCTGTAATTAGCCTGGGATTTTAAAGGGTTAAGTTATGTGAACCTATTTACGCTTTCTGTGAAGTACAGTGTAGCTTGATGCTAACATAACACAGAAAAACACATAGGGGAAAGAGCATTATCATTGCTGTAGTAATTTAATAAGAAAAATCTACTAATAAGCTTAAGATTTTTCTGTTAAACGCTACTAAATTATCCTTGCTGAAAAAAATCATGGAAAGCATTAAAAGTGTCTGTTGGTTCCTTGTGGCGTCCTGTAGTCACTAATGGTATTTAGTGTTTTCCTGATGGGTTGATATCAAGAGTAAAGGATTCTAATGATTTAACAGGTGTTCTGGGACTGATTCCAGATGCATCTCATGGCTTTCTAATGAAATCTAAAATTATTTTAATTTTCTATATTAGCCCGTTTCACCCTGAGCTGCACTACAGTCCCCAGCATGCGCTGCACCGTAATGTGCGCTTCGACCCCCTTCCTCCAACAATAATCTACGGGTCAGCGGTTACACAAAAAGAAAAGATGCCTGGTTAAAACAAATAAGCAGTTTTAAAAACATACCTCCTGTGGACAGTTAAGAGGGTTTAACAGTTATCTGTAGCTAATGTAGCCTATTGTTTTATACAAAACTATAATTTTTTATATTATTTTTGAATAGTTTGAGTATTCAGTGCCTATGTTTTCAGTTTTGGCATATTTTGAGTGGCCAGTTTGCACCATATTCTTGGCAAAATGTTAAATAAAAAAAAAAATAAAAACACAGCTGGCCCACAGATTTCTTGAGATGTTTTAATATGGCCCTTTAAGTGGTTGAGTTTGACACCCCTGACATTGCAGAATGGGTTCCTAGTTTTATGTTATTTTTCTTTTGTTGTTTTTATGTTTTTTGAGGGGAACAGACTCTTTATCGGACTGTCTTTGCAATCAGATGTGACATTTTTGCACATTTCTGGAGGAAGACTGGATCAATATGTTTTCAGAACTTAGACAGAAACACATTTATCTTTAACAGAAAGCAGAGGCTGTTCTTCTTCCCCCAGCATTAATCTCTATTTGGCAATACTTAAAATGCATCCTGTGCTAATGCATGTCCAGAAATATAGTTTAAGAACCTGCCTCAATGAAATGTGCCTCAGATTATGTTGTTTGTTTGATTTTTCATGCTTAGCTGTGACTGATCTGCTGGTAGAGCGACGGTTCTCAGCTGAGTGGAAATCTCCATCGGCAGGGTCAGGAGGATTCCCTCGTCTGTGCGCTGACCACAGTTTAACAATGAAGTAAAGCACTGTGGGTAGTGGAGGAATGCGTCTCCCAGTTCCTGCCAGAAATATCTCGCTGCTGTCCTGATGCGACTTCAACGCCACTTTTTGTTTTTGCATTACCCACGATGCTGTATTCCACGCTTCCCACATGCTTCTACAAATGGTGGCGAGACTTGGGAGCAATTATCAAACCCACGCGGAAAACTTAGTGACCATCCGGTGGGTGCGTGATGGGGTTAGCAGAGAAGAAGTTCAGTCACAAAGTGAATACACTTTAGGAATTTTATTGTCAGACAGACAAAGTTTGGTAGAACTGTAATCAAGTTGAACCAAAGCCAATATTGTGTGTTGTCATCATTTTATAAAATTAATAAGCCACCCAAGGCCAAGCTTTAGGCCAGTGATGTAGCTGAATCAAATTTGAAATGTTTCTGTGTTCCAACCGTAAACTAATGTTCCTAAATCGGTTAAAATAAAATGAGGAAAAAACAGTTAATTCCATAG